CCGCGGGCACTGCGCCTGCCGCGCCCCGCACGCCGGGCCTGGCCCTGCGGTTCGCTTTGCCGTGAGGTTCGCTCTCTCCGTGCCCAGCGGTCGGTCGGGGTGTGACTCGTGCTGCTTCCCTGCGTGTCCGTGGCTTGGGGCTGGAAAAACCGGCGCCCAGTCAGTGCAGATGTCCTTTCTCAAGTGCCTGTTTTTCCCTTGCCAGGTGTAAAAATAATCCATCTAACTCATACAAGATTATATACCCTCTTTGAACTGTACCTTCTCACCCACAGGCTCGTTATTGACCATTTATATTTGCACAAAGCATCATGCAGTAGGAGCTTAAAGCTATGCCTGATGCAGCTGGCTTAGCTGTGGAAGAGGACAGGTTGTTTCATAAAGTAGGGGTAGGAAGAACTTTGGAAAAGCCATGTGAAGCTAAAACCGTGTCCCATCTGCTGTGCTTTACTCTTGCTCAAAAGAGTATATTGAAGTTCATACCAAGTCTTTCTTATGTTTAGAAGTGCAACTGCATGTTAAAGTATCTTTCTGTACTTCAAGGCAAAAATAAAAACAAACCAACCAATAAAAACCAACATCACAGGCCTGTAATTTTTACTTTTTCCTTTCCTGTTAGTTTCCCATAGTCCTGGTTGGTTACACATCTATAGTGCATAACAGATTACTTCACTTCTCTTTTTTCTTCTTATACTAATCAAGCTTATTAATTTTAGTTTGCTTTCATGGTATGGGTCCTTCATCTCCCTGAGACTGTTAAGCAGCATCTGTGTAGTGCATAGTAATTCTGTGGGAAAAAAATTATCCCAAGACAAGGAGAAGAGTTCACCTGAAATGTGTGTGAAGTGTGGATCTAAGCTACTGGGATCTGCTGTTGGCAGGCAGCTGGGTACAGCAATGCACAAATGCTGATAGTCCTTCCAAGTGAGGCTTGAATGCAGAAAACCTTAGGGACCTTTTGTCTTTTTCAGCTTACAGAAACTTCCTCAGGGTATGGAAGTTCTTTCTACTGTAAAAAAGATGATTTTTCAGTCTGCCGTGAATTTGTTTTGGTATTTATTGCTTTGGCCTTTGTTTTGCCAATTCTCTTTGCTGTTCGGACACTTGTGTATGTTGCCATAGCTTCCACGTGCAGCTCACTAGTGCTGCACCAAAGTGTTTTTTTAATATAGAACCTTCAACACCATCAAAATTCAGCAGAATAATCTATTTATTCTCAAAAGGTAGTCTAAGTAGTCAGATAGAACGTGAAACATACTGCTTTGCACCATTTTGTAGAGAATTTATTTTATATGAAACATGGAAAAATAACCTTTCAGTCAGACTTAAGGTCACACCTTTCTATATTGAATAATGATTCTAAACTTGAGGGGGATGTCTTGAATTCGGTCCATTTTTTGCTTCATTAATAGTGACTGACTTCCAAAATTCTGGATTTAGCTCTTTCTAGGAAGCAATATGTAGGGATTCCCACCCACCCCTGTTGTATTTCTTCCAGGTGAAGTTGAATGAAAGATTGTTAACCAGGTGAAGATAAAACACATCCTTTTTAGTCAAAATGAAAGATTAAACAGGTTGTAGCAATGCAGCCCTTGTGGGCCCAAAGTGAGCCAAATGTACCAAACCAGAATTGAGACTAACAGTAGATAATTTCCAGAAAAGCAAATGAAGAGACAAATGGATTGATGTTTTGAGTAAAAATATGTGCCGTGACCTGTCAGGCTGGATGGCTTTAAGTATACCTAACTAAATCTGTTTTGTGTTTTTTTTCTTTGCCTAGTACTGAAGTAAGGATGCCTTAAAAACCTAGCTATGGATAAATACATTAAAGTGCGCAAGATTGGAGAAGGATCCTTTGGGAAAGCAATACTTGTCAAAGCTAAAGAAAATGGCCAACAATACGTTATTAAAGAAATAAACATCTCTAAGGTGAGTGCTTATTATGAATTATTGTTCCATTCATTTTGTATATCTGTTTTCAAAAACCATTTTTTTCCTTCTGAAGATGTCAAACAAGGAGAGAGAAGAATCCAGGAGAGAAGTCGCTGTATTGGCTAACATGAAACATCCAAATATTGTCCTCTATAGGGAGTCATTTGAAGGTAAGGTTAATTAATACAGTAGAACCTGAAGTAACACTAGTAAGTGACTGTGCATTACTCACTGCATTTAGTTTAAAACTCTGTGTGTTTTCTCTTTTTAATCAGTAGTTTTCATACTTTTATTACTTATTTCAGTTCTTTTCTATCGTATTTTTTTCACAATTCCCGTGCACATTTAAAAATAACTGTAATTTAGAAACAAAGGGCAAGAATTAAACAGGAACATTCATGTCTATTCCTTACATGCACCAATGTTGGTTGATGCTTAGATGAAAGATGTTCTCTTGTTTGTCCAGAATGTAAGTCTCCTTGCATACTTGTGTATGCCTTAACAACATGAATGCTTGTGTAGGCTAAATATGTGTACAGTCTAACTTTGGGTGTTGATAACCTAGCAAGAACAGTTTTATGTCAGTCTGTTGTCTTAGAATGCAGTCTTCAGTACTGCAATCATATTATTGCCTTCAGAGCTGGAACGATAGATGGGACTGTTTACTTCCTCAAGATATGACAGAAGGAGGAATACAATTCCACGTTGTCTTCATGGTGAATGTCTTGGGGAATGAGCAGGACAGATAAGATTCAAAATACCTATCACATAGGTTAACATATTATTAAGAAAACCTAAATATTATTTGAAATACTGTTTAGGAACACGGCTCTTTTTTCCTTTCCTTCCTTTCTGCTCGCTGTTATATGTCTTTTGCCTAGGGGGTTTTATTTTTTCTATGCATTAAATTAGATTTTTGTGACTTAATCATATTATAGAGCAATAGCCGTCTGGTTTATAAATTCCATGCTTCTGTCTTTGTCATAGAGGCCTGTTCTTTAAGGCTGCTTTTTCCTTACAAGGTAGATCTTGTAAACAATCATTCACAAGACTTTGTGTTGCATCTTCATTGCTAAAACATATTTACTTTGAATGTACTGATTTGGTTTATAAACAAGAGAATTATTTCAGCAACAGGTCTGCAAGAAATCCAGACTCCTAGGATCATTTTTGTATTGAGTTTGTGTGGCCAGCTTTTGGTAGCAGGGGGGCTACAGGGGTGGCTCCCGTGAGAAGCTGCTAGAAGATTCCTCATGTCCAGCAGAGCCAACGCCAGAGCCAGGATGGACACACCACTGCAGCAAGGCCGAGCCAATCAGTGGTGGTAGTAATGCCTTTGTGATAGCATATTTAAGAAAGAAATATTACTGCACAGAAGTAATCGCAGCCAGAGAAGAGAGGAGTGAGAATATATGAGAGAAACAACTATGCAGACACCAAGGTCAGTGGAGAAATGGGGGGAGGAGGTACTCCAGGTGCCAGAGCTGAGGATCTCCTGCAGCCTATGGTGAAGATCATGGTGAAGCAGCTGTTCCCCTTTAGTCCATGGAGGTTAACAGGGTGCAGAGATCCACCTGCAGCCCATGGAGGAGACCCACACTGGAGCAGGTGGATGCCCAAACGAAGGCTGTGACCCTGTGGGAGGCCCTTGCTGGAGCAGGCTCCTGGCAGGGACCTGCAGGCCTATGGAGGGAGGAGACCCGTGCTGGAGCAGAGTTCCTGGTAGGACTTGTGGTCCTGTGGGGGACCTGTGCTGGAGCAGGCTGTCGCTGAGAGTGACCCACACTGCAGCATTTCATGGAGAACTGTAGTTCGTGGGAAGGACTCATGTTGGAGATGTTCATGTAGAGCTGTCTGCTGTGGGAGGGACCCCACGCTGGAGCAGGGGAAGGACTCCTCTCCTTAAGAGCTGTGGCAGAAAGAACGTGTGATGATCACAGCCCTCACTCCCCATCTCTCTGTGCTGCTACGGGGAGGAGGTACAGCTGGGAAGAAGGGAGGGGTGGAGGAAGATGTTGTAAGGTCTGTTTTATTTCTCATTTTCCTGCTTTGATCTTGTTAGTAATAAAATCACTTAACTTCCCCAAGCTGTGTCTGTTGTGTCCATGATGGTACTTGGTGAGTGATCTCTCCTGGTCCTTATCTCAACTCATGAACTTTTCGTTATGTTTTCTCTCCCCTGTCCATTTGCAGAGGGGAGTGATAGAGCAGCTTTGGTGGGTGACTGTCTTTTAAAATAGTACTGATTATAAAGTTTAACTCAGATACAAACAGCTGTAAGGGTTTGATTTTTTGAAAGGCAGATTTCAGAAGCATTTTGTGGGAGTGAAATTTAAGTGACTTAAATGATACAATTAATTTTAATTTAGAGATTTTTAAGTGCTATGTCTAGCTTTTTCGTACAACAGGAGTTTTTCTTTTGAGCAGTGTGTGATTGTTTTTATGCACTTACTCAGCTCTTCTCAAAGTCATGCCTCGTATGTGAGTAACAGAGTTCTTAAGTTTTTGGTATCTCAATTTGCTTCTCCCTAGTCTATTTTTTCATCAGTAAGTGGGCAAGATTGCACTGGGAAACTTTGAATGAAATGTATTATCTGTGTTCATACCTCCTCTTGGAAACTTGCATAGGATGTTTTTTTGCAGTCACTCCAAATTTCATTTTAAAAATGAAAAAATAATTGCTTCCATCTCTCATTGTCTGCTGGAAGTTTTGTTACTGTTTGTCAGTCTCTGAAATGAACTACATGTCTAGTATGAGACCTGATGATTGTCATATTCTTGCACTTAATGTGAGTAGTGCCATGCTCAGGTAAAATTCCAAGAAAAAACTAGTCAAATAGAGGCAAGTACCTAAATTAGGGTGGGGGATCTATAGGATCTGTTTGAAAGCAGTTTGAAGCATGTTTTTAGACTGTGTTTGTTAAGTGACACCTTTAATTTCATAGTGATTTGGAAACCTATTTTGGGGCACTGGTTCTGCAGATGTAATTGTTTTCTCTCCCTATCAAAATAGTCTGATATTACCAGAAATGGGAAACTTAAGTTGTGAAACTCAAAATAACTTTTTTTTTGTTTGAAGTTTGAAAAAATGATCTAATAAATTATATCTGAGGCTACACACAAAAAGGTAGTTTTTTGGTTGCTTTTTCTGTGACTGTAGTGAAGATATTCAGGAAGTTATGTAAAGATGGGACTTTTTTTTTTATTTTAGAAATACTTTGTGTTCTATTTTACAGAAAATGGCTGTCTGTACATAGTCATGGATTACTGTGAAGGAGGAGACTTATTTAAAAAGATAAATGCCCAGAAAGGAGTCTTATTCTCTGAAGATCAGGTAACAGCAAACTGCTGCTATAGTATTTTGTTGCATGATAGTTTTTCATGAGCTTTAAATTACTTTGGTTGAGTTTGTAGGTGTGGTTGCTTAATCTAAAAAAGAGGGTCTCAAATTGTCATTCTCGTTGCCATTGGTTGCAGTGGTACCTTAAAACCAAAATGAAACAAAGAAAAACCAAAAATAAAAAACCCAAACAAAACCCAAAATGAAACAAAAAAGCCCAGAGAATATATAGCTGGAAATCCTGGGTGCATTCTTTGGGGTTTTGTCTGTACGTGTAAGTTTCCTCTAAAAAAGTTGAATCGCTTGCAAAGTAAACCAAATCTAAGAAGTTAAAAATACTGAAGGACAAAATGAATGTTTTAAACCTTTGAAATAATGTTTTTAAAGCTATAATGGCATAGGATTTTCATCATGTAATACTGATTCTCATGTATCAGCAATGTAAAATAACATACTTTGTAAGTATTGTCATGCGAAATATGAAAATATTTCATCATTCAAAAGTTTATTTTGCCACTAATAAAAACGTAATGTTTTATTGGAAGTGTCCCAGCACATTTTTTTCCACAAAACTGGTTATAAAGTCATTTGTAACATGGGAGAACTTGGGATAAATTAGAGGATTTTGTGTACAAAGTTGATTAAATTAAGTGAAAATAGATTACGTAGTGTAGTTTTTTTGTTAGAATTGACATATGGTTCTTTGTTTATAAATTGTTTGTATGCTTTTGAGTCTGCATCCAGTAGGATCTGAATTTACCTGTGGTTAGAAAGGCTTAGCAGTATGTTACGTCTGTTAATAGTATTTAGAATGGGTGAAACATTTTGGATATAATTTGTAAAACTTCTCATTTTTCTAATTTGACTCACTTTTGCAAGAGCAACTTAAAGTGGAAAAATGAAAATTACTCTTTGCACTATGCTGTAATTTTGTCATGTACTTGAATTGTACTAAGTCAGGAATGTGAAACCATTATTCACATGGAAAAGTTTTTGTCATTAGTCACTTCTTATATTGTGATTTTTGCAAATTTACAAAAAAAAGGTGTATCTTTCTGGGACTTCTGGTCAATTGACTGCAAGAAGACTTGTGTTGGTTACAGCAAAAGTACAGTCCTTTAAGTTGCAAGAATCACATCTTAAGCATTTTAGCTGATCAAATTCACATTGCATACTTCTGTTGGGTTTACAGTATGTAATGAAAATAGCAGTCTCAAGCTTAATGTCAAATTTGGGTAATGAGCATCTTTCATTAAAAGGTTTGCATTATAGTGACAGTACTGTTAAGTTTTTATTCTGTGGTACAAATTAAGGCATTTGGGGGAGGAGGGTAAAATCTTGAGTTGTTGTTATGAAACTAATTTGATAATATCTCCAGTTACATAACTGGGGAAGGTTCCAGATAAATAACAATGCTGATGTTGTGTTTCTTTTATGAATAGATTCTGGATTGGTTTGTACAAATTTGTTTAGCCCTAAAGCACATACATGATAGAAAAATCTTGCATCGGGACATAAAGTCACAGGTATGTCGGTGACTATTTTTCAACTGAACTTACTCCCAAAGTGATTACATTCATATCTTGCTAGTGTAAGTTGGCAAATTATGGAAAATAGTCTTTTTATGTAAACACTTCTAATACTGGAAACACTGCTTCAGAATCATCTGCAAGAGATTTGTGTGATATTTGTACAAACAGATGAGGCTGTTTGATGAAGCTACTTGAGTGTTAGTTGTATTTATGTGTGGGGACAGGAAACGTTATGCTTGAGAATATGTAGTAGTGTTTGTTATTTTAATGAAGTAGGACTGGAATCAGTCTGGTGTTTCATAGTAGTCAATAACACTACTGCTGGCGACTTCAGAGGGATTGAATGGTAGAAAACTTTCTTCTTCCCAAAACATGTAGAGAACAAAAGGTGTGCAATTGTATGAATGCTTAATTAACAGACTTCTTAACATTTCTATATCAAGAATATATTTTTAACCAAAGATGGAACAATACAGCTGGGAGATTTTGGGATCGCCAGAGTTCTTAACAGGTAACTCCTCTTTCTCTGACTTAATCTAAATCACCTTGATGTAGGAAAACATGATCTGTGCACTTCATGTGAGTTAACCAGTTAACATCCATTCTTTCTTTTCTCCTTAGTACTGCAGAGTTGGCTCGCACTTGCATAGGAACCCCATACTATTTGTCACCTGAAATATGTCAGAACAAGCCTTACAACAATAAAAGGTACTAAGAAGGATTTTTTTTAATAACATTTTTGGTAAAGAGAAGAAAATAAGTTCTTTTAGAAATCTAAAGCTTTTCTAATCATATGATGGCGAACAGCTGTTAGTTTGTTGCTTACCCAAGTAGGTACTGTGCCTCACTGTACAAGTAGGACCTTAGTAGGTCTTCAGTAGAAAGCAATGTGATGCAGAGTTGAGTTAGCTTAATGCTCTAAGTTCTAGATCTAGCTGTGTTCTTAATTACGACTCTGCTTTTGCCTATCTACACGCTGGTGGTACTGCCTGAATTTATGCATTACAAATGTGGAAGTGTCTTAAGGATGAAACACAGTAAGTTGATTCTCTAAGCACATGCATAGATGTGTAGCTCACCTTGTTCCAGATAACAAGTCCTACAGATACCTCACTTGTATGTTTGCTGCCCTGGATGTATTTGGTAACACCTTCCTCAGTGTAATTAAAATGGTCCTTGTCAAGTTAGCCCTATACTGCACTAAGCTGCTGCATCCATTGCTGTGAGTGCCTTGTAATAATTTCAATTGGTTTATTAAAAGAAAAGATTATTACAGTTCCTTGTCCCGTGATTTCTTCTATATGGGATTTATTATCCAATGGTATCCTAACCAATTTCTGTAATCCTCTGAGGAGTAAAGGTAAGGTAAGTCAGTGTTAAACAGAGTAAATTTACTTTGCAAATTCTATTTGCTGAATTAGGTGGTGAGTTTGTTTGGGGTTTTTTGTTTCTTTAATTCAAAGACATCAGGCAAATGATGATGGAAAAGAAGGAAAGGTCTTTGTCCATATTTTGTCAAATTTCTATGGATAGGGTCGTTCACATGAATAATTCTAAATCTCAAGCCAAAATAGTTTCATCTGGTTTTCAGGTTGGCGTTATTTATAGTGGTTGAATTCTTTTCTTCTTGTTGTTTGGGGTTTTGTGGTATCAAAGAAGTCCCTACAAGGGAGCTTGTACACACTCAACATACACCCTTTTCGTGTTCAAAGACAGACTTCACAGATATAAGTCACTGGGCACTGTTCACCTAGAACTAATTCTTAGGGTGTGTTCTCTCTGATTTAGTGATATCTGGGCCCTTGGTTGTGTTCTCTATGAAATGTGCACACTTAAACATGCGGTGAGTAGAAACTTTGTGTGTCTATGTAAGAAAAGTAATTTCAAATTGATTTTCTTTTTTGCTGATGTTACATAGATGTGTTCTAGTTGATGAAAGGCTTTTGTGATAACCGTTTGAAAATGACCTTCAGCGTTTTCATCTCTGCTTCCTATGCTGACCAGCATTTTCCATTGCTGTTCTGGTCCATGCCAGTCTCTCAGAAATCTTAGCACTTCTGTTTTTAATGAATTGTGTTAGCTGGAAAACTGTTAGGTGTTGTAACCAAGGGTACTGGGAACAGTGTTCGTTTTTTTTTCCAAAACAGCTTGTCTTTATTGAAAGCTTCATTGAAAGTTTGAGTTTGGACTCTTGGCTCAGAAATAGCACATAGGAAAAACTTTTGGGGTGGAAAAGTTTCCTTCCCCCCCCCCCCTCGCTCCTCCGTTCTTTTGAACAATGTCTTTATCATCCATTTCTCAGGAAGGGAAGAAAAAGCTTTTCTTTTCTGCATGTTTTCGATTTTTTTTGTGGATTTTGTTTTGTTTGGGGTTTGTAGTAGCTAATTTTATTAAAACAAAAAGATTTTAGCAATGAAAAAACACAACAAGGGATAAGGGTTTCATTTCATTTCAAGGTTTTGTAATTTCTTATTACTTGTTCTTTTATGTGGCAGCAACACTGACAATGTTGCCTTTCTGAGATTTGATGGCAAGAAGTTGTTTTCTGTAAGATGGGTGATAAGTTTTGTTTTCATTGTACAAAGGAATTGAAAGGATGTCCTCTGTTTCCTGAGCTTAAACTGAAGTCTGAGCATTCCTTTGGATTTCACACTGAATAAGTCTGAATGCTTTACATTCTTTCATTTGAAATGAGGATTTGCTAAAAAGGGCATAAGGAATGTGATGGTTCAAAGAGTTTGGAAGAAAAGATTAAGCAGATAATTACATAATTTTGTTTTCTTGAGTTATATATATATATATGTATATATAAAATTGTCAGTCTAGATCTGGAGGCAAATAATTATTTGTCAACAAAATTGATACCTTCATAGTGTCCATATCTGTATTATGATGTATTTATGATCAGAATACTTGGCAACAGATTATTTTAAAATGTTGGTGTAAACTGTTGACAACCTTGAAAATGTGCTTTGGTATGTTGATTCAAGGGAAGGTGCATTGTTAGCTTGTTTTCCTTGTCATCTTTATATGCAGCCTTGCATGTAGACAGACAATAAACAATATGTAGTAACTGTTTTCTTTCCTGTGTGACATAGTTTGAAGCTGGTAACATGAAGAACTTGGTACTGAAGATAATCTCTGGACCTTTTCCACCTGTTTCTGCTCATTACTCCTATGACCTGCGTAATCTGCTGTCACAGTTATTTAAAAGGAATCCTAGGAATAGACCATCAGTAAACTCCATATTGGAGAAAAACTTCTTAGCCAAAAGGGTTGAAAAATTTCTCACGCCAGAGGTATGGAGTTAGTTCTAATTCTAACTTTGCTGAAAACATCATAGAACTTTCCATGAGGAACTGGAGCAATGATACTGCCTAGAGCTTTTATAGTGACAGTGTCAGTTGAGGAAAAAGTAGTTTTACTATGAACTGTAAAGAAAAGTCTCAGATTACTAAGTATTTGGTAGTTTCCATAAGGAAATCTAAATTGGCATTTTCTGAAGCACATTGTTTTCTGTGTTTTTCTGTATTGTGAGGAATGAGGAGTGAGGTGTCAATTTGTTTAGCTATTCATCTTTTCCTAAAGGGGTGCTGTCAAGGATGTCAACATCACCATTTTATCACATTTCTTCAATCCATTTTTTTGTTTGGAGTTTGGAATGGCCTGAAAGCCTGTTGCAGGAAATATTACTAAGTATCTAAGCAGATCTTTAAGTCACTTGTCGTTTAAATGTATTGTGTATGTAACCTCAAAGAATTTGCTCACTATTCTGTTAAGAATCTATTGATGTCATTTGATGTCTATTAGTGTCCTTTTAATATAAATCAAAAGAGATCAAGATTAAAAGGAGTAATAGTACTGAGAAAAGTAAATATAGACAGAGAAAGGACATGGAGGAAATAAAGTATAAAGAATTCTAATGGGTTCTAACTCACAGCTAAAGAAATGTCATGAGAAAGCTGTATATAACTGGAATTTCTGTTGTATGTGAAATGGGCTTTCAACTAACAGTAGTTCAGATTGAAGTCCCAATGAAAGGTAAGAATCAGAAGTGAAACAGATGAGTTTGTTCTGACAATTGCAGCAGTAATAGTTTGATCTGATTTTATCTCCAGTAGCTAGAATGGATATGAAATTTTTATTTGGAGTTAGTCCAAGTATAATTAGTTACATACTAATTGTTTCTGTCACCAGATGGTGATACTAACTTGTCCTAGATTGAATGCGAATAGGTGTGCACAATTTTTCCAACTGGAGCTGACATGTTTGTCTTAGAGGTGCTATCTGATCTTAAAAACAGCAAAAAAACCCTCGCTTAGAAAGCAGCTTTTAGTAAATGTGTCAGCCATACGTTCATATTCACCTGGGGGTGGCCAGTCTGTGACACAGCTGTATTGCTTATTTTCTTTCAGTATCATCCATGGCCAATGCTGTTGCTCTCCTTTTTCCTTAGTCTAGACTTATGTCATGGTTGATATCTTCACATGTTGCAACTGTTGCTGAAATCGTGCTTGTAAAGATCAGGGAATCAGTCTTTATGTCAATTCTTTCTTAATTTTCCTAGTTACTAAGCTGCAATGAAGAGTTTATCTAAATTAGCACTAATTCTTTTAAAAAAGAGAGGACTTTTTGAAATGTGCTGAACAGTCAAGTTTCTTTTCTGTCAGTGTCATTATAGAAACATCATACCTCAGTTGTACAGTTTACCAGTCGAATAAAAGCCTCAAGATCACTGAAATACCATTAGCAGGAAACTGTTCTTGTGTGTGACTTCTTGGTTATGGAATCTTTTGATGCCAGATTGTACAGGTTAAAAACTTTCTCTGCCATCACGTGCAGAATCCTAAGTTCTGCACTTCGGTTCTTGTTTTGTGGTTGGGATTTTTCAGGTTTAACTCAGTATCCATTGTAACTGACTGGTGGTCTCTATGCAAACAAAGGAATCTGGATAGTTCAGGATTCTTTAAAGACTTTTCCTGATCTGACACTTTTCAACACTTATCTTTTTATCCTTGCTGTTCTTCCTTGAATCTCTTTCATTTGTACTATGTGGATTTTGAAGTGCTGGTTTCAAAACTACTTAGACTATTTAAGATGTTGGCCTATTAATGTTGGAATGTTCTTTGTCTAGACTCAGATTTTTCACTCCAATAAGGCTGGTTTCCTTATTTTATAATGGTAGGTTGATGTGCCTGACAGCACACTGACTATGTTGTTTCTAGATATCCACATATGTCGTCATCTTTCCATCTTGAAAAGGATAGTGAAACTTAAAAACTGCAAACATTTTTAAAAGGCTGTTTTTTTTGGCACAAGCTGTATATGAAATTGAAGTGAAATTTGGCAACTACTCAGAAATCTGAAATGAACTATGCACAAAACTATGTTGATGCTCACATTAACTTTATTCTAGATTCTTAGCTAGCTCATAAATGAGATAACATCTGCCACCCAGAAGTCATACTAAATTGGTTTTTTTACTTATTTCATTAATTATGCCAAAAATGTTTGAAAGTACTGAATCCAGCTTCATATTGATGTTAGTGATACTAAACTGAATACATAAAGTGGAGTATTCATTTAAGTTACAGTAAATAACTATTAGATGCTTACTGGGAATGGTACACTTCTCTGAAAATTAGTTATTTTTAGCTTCAATCATAAATACTGTTAGCTAACTCTTCAACTTTTTGTTTAGCTTATTGCAGAAGAATTCAATCACAAAATTTTCCAGAAGTTTGGACCACATGCTGCACCAGGTAAGTGAGTGTGTAAAGTGCTTTTGCGTTCAGCTCTGGCAATGTAGTGTATGTAGCTTTGTTCTTTTACCTTTCTTTGGTGTGTGTGTGTGTTCTTATATCTGAGTATAGAATTGTCAGGGAAATGAGTGGGGAAGCAGTTTTCCCCCCTTTCCTGGGGAGCTGGATGTATGTAGGGTACAAATGATGCAAATACAAACTGTGATCCTGTAAGATTTTAAGTGTGTTTTCTCCACTTGCAGTATGCTATGCTTCCTAAATTTAAGGAGACAGTGTAGACTGCAAATACTGGAAATAACTTTTGTTATCATACAGCTTATTTTTACCCCTCAGTAATAACAAATGGCTGAGGAGAAATACCATTTCTTGCAAAAAATGTGAACATTTTGTTAGACATTCCAAGATTAAGCCTCGACCTCAGTCCAAAGCAGTGGAATTTCTGCTACAGGTGGCAAAGTAGACCATGGTTAATTTTATTTAGGTGGTCTTACCTTAGCTCATTTTCCTGCATTAGTTTGCTTTTTTCCCCTGTAGATTTCCTTCCCAGTTTTTTTATTTCCTTGTAATTACTTGACACTGTGGCAAGTGCTTTGGTGTCTTTTGGTTGTGCTGTTTCCTGCTAGTCTGCAGTAAGAGAGCCCTGCTAACGTGGAATCAAATCCGCTATATTGGCATATTTTCAGGAGCTCTACAGGGAAAACAACATCCCTGAAGGACATTGAAGTTCTTCCAGAACTCATCTTCTCCTGACATTAGCATTGTTAGTGGAAGCAGTCCTGTCTCTCCATTCTATTAGGAAAAATCTTTCCCATGTCTGTGATGTGACAACTGTGTAATAAAGCATGGCAGATTAAATAAGCTTCAGTTCTCCAGTCTGGACTTCTCCTTTTTCTTATGAAACATAAAATTTAGACAAGCTGTTTTGGACAATTTGGTATAGTATACTTAAGCATCAGCCATTGTGAACGAAATGTTAGCATTTCACCCATTTTTCTTCAGTTTTGGTGTTCTGAGACCTTGGAAAGGTTTTTTCCCTTCTTTTTAGCTAAAAGACCATCTCAAGAACAAACAATGACTTCAGTTGCACCAGCTCAGAAAATTACCAAACCTGCTGCAAAATACGGAGTGCCTTTAACTATCAGGAAGTCTTGTATTGCACCTAAAAAGCCTAATGACAAGAAGCCATTGACTAAATCTAGACAGGTAAGAAGCTAAGTTACTTACATTGAACTGTTTTGTTCATACCTTATTTAAATGCTATCAAATACTATGCTTTCCTTTTCAGAATGTCTTTTTATGTGGACATGTGCATCTCCAGGGAAAATAGCACTACAAGCTTGCTTCATTATTGATTTTTCTTGTTGTTTCGTTGGTTTTAATATGATGATTTTCGTAGACTGCTACCTCGGGTTTGGTTCTTAATTCCAGTGCTGACTTATATTTGCATGTTTTCATTTTCTTTGTTGGTGCTGACCATGCTTAGAAATACTGGAAGTCTGTCAGGTATACCAAGATCATTGACACTGGATAAGAATCTTTGCATCTTTCTTCCTTGTTCAAAAACAGTCTTGTATTTTCAAAACATGAAAACTTATTTTAGTCAAGTGTTGTCAGACAGAGAAACTGTGGAATTGGAAGAGCAGTGTCCCAGATTTAATTCCATGAGCTAATGAGAAAGTCTTCTAATACCTTCATACAGTACTTTTGATGCTTCCACCAGTCATCTTCTCTGTATTCATTATTACGTAAAACTTTTTCTCTCTCTCTGTTTATTCCTTTAATTACTGCATGGCCAGGAGATGTTTATGTTACAGCTAGTTTTGGGCTATATGCATGTGCCAAACAACTAGCAACCAAGAAGCTTCCACTTCAGCAAGAGAACTAATTCAAATTTTCTTTTGAATAAGTACTCTTTTTTGTGTGCTTTTTGTGGGTTTGGGATTTTGGGAATTTTTTTCTTTGCCTTCTCCCCATGGCACTTCAGGGAACATAAGATCTCTCTCTATCCATCTGTCAAATTTCGTAGGTGGATAGAAAATGATCCTTGAGATATAAATTATCTTTGAGGTTCAAAAGCTGTCAGAGGTTTAGAGAAAAGTTCATGGATCACACAAGCCTTGTTGGCTTGTGATGCACGGTTTGAAGAAGAGAGAAGAAGGGAACAAGGAGAATTCTTGTGTGTTCTTACAAGACCATGAGGTTTATGTTTTAAGACTTGGTAGCACAACTATCTGCTGCTCTTGATAGTTGGTTTCACCAGTCAACACTGAGCCAACTTGCCTGGAGACTCAGAGTGGCAGGGGAGAGACTGAGGCAATAGCCTCTTCCTATGTGTAAGGAGTCAGTAATGCTGCAATTTTAAGACACAGTCTTGGTGTGAGTTGTACCTCAGGGCAAGGGATAAGGTGTAGGATAGAAACAATGGCTACAAAGTAATACAAGTTTTCTTCTCTTTGCTGTTGTTCCAGGGTAGTCTGAGCTTGCAGCTCTCAACTGACTTTTCAGAGGAGCTTGTAACAATTGTCTGCTTTATTTAGCAGTATTACATTAACATGACATCATTAACACTACATTAAGATTTATGATACAAGTCTCTAAAGGTGTCTGACTTCTGTGATACTTGATTTTAAAGTACTCGTTTGATAGGAATGTAGCTGGTCAAAAGAAAATAAGCTCTGTGTTCTAGTATAGTCAGAAAAAAATCCCCCAAGCTTTGAAATAACCATCGCTTTTTTGAGAAGATGAGTGTAAGTCGCATGGTCTATTATGTGCAGCTGCTTCTTTACCAGGTGTTCAGTGGTGGCTCTGTTCTCATGTTCCATAGGTAACAAGAACCTTGGTTAGAGTTAGAACCAAGTGAAGAACCAACTTCTAGGATAACCTAAAGACTTAGAAAAGGTTGTAATGCACAGTGATACGCCAGAGAAGAAAAATGAAGATAAGGATTTAAAAATGAGTGCCTTCAGCTTTTGAGACAGAACTTTTAGTACAGGATGAACAAGTACAATAGCATTTACTCCTAGATCCTAGCAGTGCTTTTTGTTTAAAACCTCCTGAGTAGTCATGTATCATAAACCCCATTTTGCACACATTCAGTTGTGGGTTTAAGATATTATTTTTTTCCTGTTAGAATTTCTCTCTTATTCTGGCATCGTGCTGTCTAATTTGAAGTTTCACCTTTTATGCAGGCCTTTCCAAGTCCAATGAAGAAAATTATTCCAGTAGAAGAAAAGTGGAAAATGTTTGAGGTATCATGAAATCATGTGTTGGTTTTCAAACTAAGCAAGAGTGCAGTCCAGTGAGAGAACGACAAAATATAACCTTCAAACCTTTCCTCCTTATCTGTTTTTCCCCAAACATTATGTAGCAGTGGTGTTTTGTTGTCTTTTTTCAGTCTTCATGCATATACACTAGCAATTGGAGCAATAACCCATCTTGACAGAGGCTTAACCGAATAATGGCTTAGTAATAAATACCAAATTATATGCTTATTTTTCAGGAACCTTCAAAAAAGAAAAGGTTAGAATTGCCTGAAAAAGAAAAGCGCCAGAGAGAGCAGGTAGACAAGATCCTTGAGACTTCTCTTTATCCTCCCATAGTAATTTTGATAAAATATCTTGTGGTGTGATGTGTGTTGCATAAGAATATGGAGTAGTTTGATTTCCTAGTTACTAAGCATGTTTAATCCTTGCACATTGCAGATCAGTTTACTGAAGGCAGATGAAATGAGAAGATCGGAAAAAGAAAGGGTAAAATATGTTTAAAATGTGTTAATAGTGAAGTTGAATTTTTACTTAGTGGTTCCTTGAATTTTGTTCTCCTGTATTGTTTTTTTCCTTCAGATGGAACGAATAAACAGAGCCAGGGAACAAGGATGGAGGAATGTGCTTGGTTCAGGTGGAAGTGGTGTTAAGGTTGGCAGCAGATGCAGAAATATGGTGTAGTCTGTTCCCCCCACCTTTGATTATCTGGCATGGTCTTCTCTTTTCAGAAAGATCTGCTCTTGGAGGTCGATTCTTGGGGCTGCCCATTATTAATCTATGGATAATTTAATGGAAACTGTAGCAGCTCCTCACTGGCCGTTTGTGCAATTTTCATTTTTAATGCATCCTAAATTTCTGAATCTCTTCTCTTCTTGCCACTAATGGTTTTTATGCACCACTTTCTTATTTCCACACCTGCTTTTGCTACTTACCCTGTGCTGAATCTATGCATGAACAGCTTCTTTCCCATTCAGTTTGTTCTTGATTTTATTTTGTTCCCAGGTTCTCATGTTATAGTAACAAACCTCTTTCCCAGTATTCAACACCTACTTCTAAGCATTCCCTGTTACTTAGCAACATAAATGTTGATGTATGTGATAAGATGTTCAGGAGCAGGTAGAAAATCTTGAGTAAATCTAGCTATTTTTTTCTGAATGCAGTGTGCTGTTTAGCCATTCACTTCTTACATAATGTAGTCCGATTCCTGTGACAGTTCCTTTTTGCCTGTTTGTGTCATTGTTTCATGGAAACATAACTGTCCTGGGATGTAGTCTTGGGAAGTTAGTTGAATGCAAAGGTCTGGGTGCTTTCATCAGACAGAGCCAGTGCAGGAGCTTAGTTATTGCTGTGGTGTAAATCTATTTGACAGTAGGAAGTGGATGGAAACACAGGTATTTGTTGTGATGGTAGTGAGTCTCACAAAAATACTTGGCCTAAACATGTTTATCAGGGTTTTTGTAAACAAGTTCTGACTGAGCACTACAGTAGAAATAAATAGAGATTTTATTACTGTTTCTTGTACAAAAATGAGGAATGCACTAATACTGACCAGGTTTCAGTGGCTGCTTATTGAATGCCTTATTTGAAAATAGACATCAATTCTGGATGTGTGCCACGCATGATATAATTAAAGCTTAGATAAAAAAAGCAAACTTCAGCATACCAGACTTTAAAAACTACCAGGTACTGATTTAATGAAAAAATCAAAAATATAATTAGGTTCCTACACTGTCCTTCTCTCTCTCTCAAGATGAAACTGGCAGGCAGCTCTACAAGCTTCCATACACTATACGTATGCATCATCACATTGGGATGAGAGCTGCATATGCTGCTGAAAACAATGTTTCTGGTTAACTCTAGTAAATAAATATATATATAAAACACTGAGGTGTTATATTCTGCATTATCATCAATATTCTCAGTTCTTAGATAAACAGGTTCAGTAGCTGTGTCTGTTTTCACTGGCATAAAGCATCATGGCAGACAGGCAGAAAAAACATCAGTGAAATATCTTCTTCAAATTGGATAGTTTAGTACAAATCTTACTGCAGGCTGCTGGTTTACCATCATTTCAGGTTTCATATGCTATTATAGTATTCTTGATTTAATTTTCCTTTCTCCAGCATGGAAGCAGTGTATGCAGCAACTCCCTGACAGTGCTGTTGAGTAGCATTGTTCAAGCTTTCCAATAGCACAAGCCATATAGCCTCTATGGAGGCACAGCAGGGCCATGCATTGCATGATTCTGTTCTCTTGGTTTTGGGTTGCTTGCTGGCACCTGTTTCTGAGGGAAAGTAGGAAGAAAGATGTCAAGGATTTGACTTCTGGTTTTAGCAGGGGCTGTAACTGTTTTGCAAACTGTTGATGAGCACCTGCTTCATAGCATTTGACTGGAGATTGATCATAGTATTTCTTTAGATAATATTTTTTAAAACTGCACTCTAATAATGATAGGTGGAACCTTGAATAGTGTCTAAAGCAAGACTTTTCCTTTTATTTGTAGAAAATATAGTCTTGTATAGTTACTTATATTCAGATGAACGATATACCTGGATATTTGAATGCCTGGATAAATCTTTGAGTTAGTATTCTATCATCTGGTTTATAGGGAGCTGTTGGTGAGTGTTGAGCAACTGAAACTCAGAATGTGAGCTAAATTCCATTTTAAAAGGTAATCAATTCAAGAACTTCTAAGCAGACAATCTTAAACCTGTCACATCTGCACTCACGTGTTTGAACTTACTTAAAATACTTAAGACCATTCTTGAAGGAAGATTGACACTACTGTTAAAACAAATTCCATAGATTTACTACCGTGGGCTATTTGACTGATTCCCCCAGGTGTAAAGGGAACATTCTTATGCATGTGCTGACAACCTTAACCTTGTTTTGCCAGTTTCACATTTTCTGCATCCATCCTTGGCTACTACTGTACACAGCTGCTTGAAACTTTTTTTTTTCATTATTTTCACATGAAAGTTCTGCAGGAATTCTAAATTTTTGAGAATGACAGAGGTAATTCGCATACAGCAGTAGCTCTTAGTTGATGTTCCACTGATCTGAGCTTTACCAGGGAAGCATCTCAATTCTGGTGATGGAATCATATTATATGTTGGTAACAATAGAGATTCTCAGTTAAATCTGCACTTAATGCCATTCAGCAAACTTAGAAGTGTGTTTTATTAATTCCAGCTTCATGAAAAAATGGCTGTTTGGCTACAAATCAGTCTTTAGTACATCAGTTGGTATTGTATTGCCTGTTGTGCTAAAGGTTTGATTTTTGCCATGTATGAACATGTATTTCCATTTACACTTCAATGGATTTGTTACCAATGACTTATAAAGTGTGTGACAGATGTCTTATGTATAACTAGACTATTACCAGAGGAAGGTGAAATGACATTTTACCCTGGACAGCTAACAGAAGTTCTTAATTTATCTGTCTTGTAGTTCATTAAAATAGGGGCAGGCCAGGGATAAAACTAAGACCAATTCACAGTTGTTGCAGAATATGTCACTGTTATTATTCTGCTGAGGAGGTGAGAATTGGAAGGGTTTGTTAAAACTAGTCTTTGAAATTTCCACCCTACCCCTTTTGGTTTCCAGGCACCATATTATGTCGGTGGAGGTGGTGTTGGTCCTTTTCCTATGTCTTCCAGAGGACACTATGAACACTATCATGCTATATTTGACCAGATGCAACACCAAAAGGAAAACATTAGAGTAGCTGAAGAGAGGGGTGCCAGATTGAGGGCGAAACTACAAGGCCGAGAAGTTGTTGAAAGGTATGGCTACCTTCCATTAGAAGTTACATTTGGTCTGCTTCAGATGAAAGTAATGAAAGTTACTGTACATATTTATCTACAGAGGAATTCCACCTGGAACACGTCCAGGAGTTCCTAAGGGACCTGCAGGTCATCACCATTTACCTGATGTTGGTGCAGTTAGGAAAAAAGTGAAAAGATTGAAGGAGGTGTCTAAACAAGCCAATGCAAACAGGTTGGACTATGATAATGCATAAATCTGTCCCTACATGTTAGATACTTGTTCTGTGTCTGGTTTCATTTAGTAGTTGGACATGTCTCAAAATCACTTTTAGCCATTGGTACTGTGCTGTCTGTTTGTGTGTCAGTCCCTCACAGACCACGGTTCTTTTAGAACCAGTGGAGACCTTGGCTTCACCAATAGAGGAAAAAATTGATAACTAAGCAATGTAGCTGAACTAGATTTCACCCAAAGTTCTTGGCTTAATGTGGTTGCAGGTAACAGAGTATGCCTCCTCCTTTGCTTTTTTCATAGTTCCACCTTTTGTGTTACCTGACAAGATGTTTCCTTCTCCTGTCATCTCATTCTTCCTGCCTTCTCTACACCTGAGTGTTTGACTCTAGCATAGGAAAGTGTCTAGAATGATCCCAGAATTGTTGCTCCTGTTTATTGATCAGTGGAAAACTAGGAACTGCATTGAGATGTGAATGCCAGGTGCTACAATGGTGTGCAACTTCTAATTCAGTATTCAAATATTAGATTATCTAATTTAATTAACTGTAAACTGAATATTTTATATATAAAAGGATTGCAAACAAGTATTGAGGTTTTTTTAATTATTTCACTCTTTGAAACAGCTTCTTCAAGACTTCTTTGTTCTCCTTCAGATATGTTAAAACTGCCCAAAGAACTGTTTGCAGTTGTGACCAGTCAATGGGAAAATACCATTTTCCTGGAAATTTAGTATGAGCATAAATTTTCACCAGCGTTATTTCAACTTCTGCAGAGCCAATGACATACTCCATGGAGGAAGAAATAAATGGAGTTAATACGAGGAAAAGGAAGTGGCCAAAGAAAACATTTGTTCTTCTAAACTAATTTGATTCTGTTTTGCATTTTAATACAATATACTTTGCCTTTATAGATTTTTTACTATTTTAAAACTTGCAGCAAGAACATAACATGTTTAACACTGATATTACAATTTTGAAAGCTACAAGGTGTATTTTCCTGATAGTAATCTGGGCTGTTGTCAGCTAATTAAAATTCTTCCTGGTGCAACCCAGAACTAGGTGGTGTATTTTTCCAGCTGTATCTTAACGTAATGTAATGCAATGTAAATTATGTGCATTTCCAACCTCCTCTGTTTATTCTTGGTGCTTCGCACAAAGTGCACAATCCCAAACCTTGCCTAGATTAGGAAACACTTTGCCTTGTGCGTTTAGCAATAGTAAATTATACTTGTCTACATGTGGCTAAGCTGTTTTAAGTGTGTTAACATTGAGAGTTACTATAGTAGAAGGCTGCAAATTAGAATAGCATGGAGATGGGGAAGGTAAATTGATTCAGTATTTCTCAGATACCTTAATTTGGAATCATTCATTGAAAATATTCTGCAGAAGTTTCAAAATAGGTAGTGATATTTTTTTTCTGTTTATAAACTGGATTACCTTTAGCCTTAAATTGAGGTGCTGTTTCTTAGGATTTTTAATGTGTTAAGTGTTTGTAATTTATTATCTGGAGGCAGTTTTATTATCAAAGCTAGCCTAGCAGTATTTCTGTCCTGCACTTTATTCTTTCAGCTGGAGGTGAAATAAGTGTTCATGACGTCTGGCTCAGACAAAGAATTTAAATAACAAGAATGTTGTTAAAGATGAGTAATTTAGTGCATGTATTAAAGAAGTTGAGAAATCCTCAAGTTGCAGACTTTGTGATGACCCTACCACAACTAATGTAAGGCTTTGTCTCTTGGACAGAGGTGCAGCCCAGAAGAAATCTAGTGGAAATGTTTTAGCAAAAAAAGTAGCTCAGCTTTAGAGTAGGAGAAACCATTTTCATAAAACATTGTTGAAATAAGTTTTTCCTGTGAATTTAGTGTGAAACGAGTAAGATGAGGTTTTTTTGGTTTTGCTTGGGAAGCACCTCTCCTGCAACAGCTTCATACTGTATGACAAACTTCAGTTGTATGACAGGAGTTTGGGCAGATTTCACTGTCAACCAGTTGAGTTCATACATAATGAGCAGCTAGAGCAAAAATCTTGTAGTGAGTCAAGTGTGTGTGTACAAAGATTATCAACTGTTGTTTCTTTACCAATAACACCTGTGTGAATTGTCTTGACCTTTCAGAGCAGCTACAGTGTTTTATTGTCTCGAAGTAGTTTTATCTCTTGTCTTCCTTTTAATGAATTATGGAAAATATCCTTGTTGCTTGGGGAGTGGGGGGAAGAAAAAACCAAAATGCAAGGATGTTTAATTATTGTGCTAATTAATTTATTAATTACTAGCAATGGCTTCCTGTATTGTAAAATGATTCTTTCTTTAACTGTCTCAGCTTGATGGATTATTGCTATCAATTTACTCCAATTTCATCCTGCCTGATGCTGAACCAGCAATACTCTGAGTTAAATGAGGGTCCTAGGCTCATTTGGAACCTTGGAAAGACCTCATCATTCTACGATTTGTTAGAATATCTTACACCATTACTCAGTGTTGTTTGTTTTTTTTTAAGAGAAAACTTCCTCTGAGTCCACTTCTAACCAATGTGTCAGAAACTGGTTGCTCTATGAAATTATCAGTGTATTCATGGACTTGGCAAATGCTCAGTTATGGTACCTTGAACATTAGCCGCCTTGTCTATCCGAGCAGGTCCCTGACCTGGGGTGGAACTTGTTAAAAAACAACCATCTTGTTACAGCTAATTCTAAGGTAGGAAAATTCCTTCACAGTCTCTTCGAAAACAAACAGAAAATCCCCCAAGATCCTCCCAAAGGAGTTGTCAGAACAGTCTGAGAATACTAGCACTGTGTACTAATTATCCAAGTGGTAGAAGCTCTTGTCAGAACAGTCTGAGAACACTAGCACTGTACTAATTATCCAAGTGGTAGAAGCTCTTAGGCCAAACCTAGGTCAGTCTAGGAAGGCTGTTGCAGTATTGACCTTACTGATTGCTCATGTGACGAGTTCTTTCTCATCTATGAAGGGAAACCTTGAAGGAGTTGTCTTTTTCACAAACAGCAGTGAAACAAGCTGAGACACTTTCAGAAATAACCTCTCCAATATTGTGTTTTGACATTCATTTTTGCTTTGATGACAGGGATCTGGAAGGACAACACAGTGTTTTGGATTTATTTTTCTTTAATTGTTCTTCTAATTTACCAAGCCTATTTTCCTCCATTTTGAGAGAGTCTGACTTGTATTTTGGGTGATGAAAGGCATTTTTTGAAGATGCCTTACTCATAGAAAACTACTTTTTTTTTTTCTGTGTGTGTTCTAGTTAGAATAAATGCAGGGCAGGGGGAGGTGGTGTTTAGAGTGTTATATTTCAGAGACTTTCATCTCGGTGTGTTGAATTACTCAGGCAAAAAGGATGGATCGCTGCAGATAGAGCAAAGCAAGTTGAAGAATTCTGGCAACGAAAGAAGGAAGCCATGGAAAACAAAGCTCGAGCTCAGGGACACATGGTATGAAATCTGGTCTTCCTGTGTATATTACTGTTTCAGCATGCTGTATGAGTCTTTGGAGTAGTATCATAACCATGAAATGTTGCTAAATATTTTCCTTTGGTATTATAAAAAAAAAAGAGAATGGGAGGTAAGCTTTCTGCATTTTGTTATTAATTTTAATAAAATGTAGCAGAATTGTGCAATACATTTCTCATTACTCTAAACTTATTAACAAAGGAAAATACCTTTGTTTCATGTGTCTAACTTGGTATTGTGAATTTTAAAACATTCATTTACATTTTTTCTATTGATAGCTTTGAAGTTTGGGTTAAAATTAAACTTTGTGTTATTCAGTAGCTTGAACCTCAAATGGAGTTTGATTAAACTGATACAAGGAATGATCATCACTGTAGTGTGTTTTACAAAAACACTTTCTGCTTATTGAAAAGGTATTATAAAGACATCCCTCATTGTCAACACTGATGTTTGTAAAACCTTTGCTCTTTTGAGATTAAGTAGTAGGTAGTATCACAAAATGTTCTTTATGCTTGCAGTTCCAAATTCAGTATTCCTTTAGGAAGTTTGTTTTTCAAAACATATATTGGAAATGGCTCATTTCCACTAGGGCTTTGTATGGTTGACCTATGTATTTTCATAACATGGAGAGTTTTGCTTTTTGAGTGCTCCTCCACACTATTCACGTACAATCAAGTGACAATATCTCTGTCAGCTGCTGAAGGTAAACAGACTGTGCTGGAGTTGCAGTGAGATGAGACCAACTGCAGACTTATAAAAGCATCTCCTGAGTTATACCTGATAATCAGATTATGATTTACAGCCAGGTTTTAACATCAGGAATTATTTCACATACAGTAAGCAATTCTTGGATACTTTGATTCACTGCTTTGATGATCAAGTATCCTTAGATTAGCATATATATTTTAAAATACACATCCTCCACTCTAAAACTATGGTTCTGTTTTTTAAAATCTTCAAGACCAGTAAATAATTCTGAAAACAATCATCAATTCTTGTTTAGAATGCCTGTTCTTGGTCAAGTTCCTAGTAGCACCTGCTTCCATTTTGTTCTTGACTTCATTGGCATTGATAAAAATGTATGAGGTCAATTAATGCTAGATATCCAAGTATTTGGCCTAATGTTTCTCAGTTTTCTCTGTTGTATTGAATTGAGCTCAAATGTTTAATTCTTAGATGGTTCCCCTAATTAAAAAGGGAAGTCACTGAATATTTGTAAAAATAACCCCCAGATGTTTAAGACTTATAACTTGAAGCCAAGGTACCAAATCCATGTATTGGATTCATCATGGAAAGCAGTTCTCAGCAGCTTCCTTGTATTTGTTCAGGAAGGTAATTTGACTAGCTAGCAGTTGTTACCATACAGGACAGGGACTGTTGTCCGGACAATGTTGATCTGAGAGGAGAAATCATCAACTAAGAGGCAGCTTTTGTCTTATAAAGACTTGTAAGTCAAATGACTGGCACTGATTTACCCAGCTTCTGTTAAATATAGATGCTGTGAATTTTAATTTTCAGCTGTCAGTCTAAAGCTTGACTCAGTAATTGAGCTGATGATTTCATCATCAGTTTCAGACATCTCTTTTTTAAGACAGCTGCTGACCTCATTTGCTACTTCACTGTAGCTGTGTGGTGTGGCAAACCAGGAGTCCTGGTCTTCCAAAGTTTTAATTCAGGCAGATGAGTATAAGTTAACAATCTACAGAAAGAAAATTAGTTCTCAAAAATCTTGCTTCCAGTTTCTTGTTTAAAAGCAGTGATATCAATCTCCATTGGGTTGAAAATACCTGAACTAACTTGAATACTAGAACAGAAGACAATGAAATTGAACAGTGCCAGTAAGCTTTTTTTTAAAGCTCGGGAAGATGCATTAAAAAGTTCAAAATAAAACCAAATATTTTCTGAAAAGATGAATATAGAAAATACACTTTTCCATTTTTTATGACTCAATGCTCAAGTTGGAACCGGAATTCATGGAGTCCTAATGAATGTATAAGAACTTCTTATCCTCAAGGTGGTTCTTTAATTTGTTCTCTGATTCCTGGTCACTAAACCACAGAAGTGCAGAAATGTGCTGTTTCCTCGAGCTATTGATTCTGCTCAGTCTGAGAGATTATTTGACCAAAATATTTGGATTCAGTTCTCCCTATCAAGAACTTAGCTGGAGTATTTACTTAATGATGGTTCTCTACACTCAAGCTTGAGAAGGCTAAAGCCCTTGCATTTTTAAGGCAGAAAGTCCATCACATGTATGCTTACAGTCTTTATTTTATGTTGAGTTACAAATCAAGAAATTTTGACCTGTTCAGTAAAGGTTTGTGGTGTATTATGAGCAAAATAATTCAAGTATTGTTTTATTTTAATCCAAGCAGGAAACCTGCAGATAAAGGACTCTTGTACTGTTTTATATAGAACTTCCTTAAAGGCTGAAATACTTTCAGTGATGCTTAGGTCACAGAGTACATCACGCTAACCAAGACTATATGCTGCTTATATATTAGGCACGTTACACAGTTTGTTAAATGTAACATGATATTTAAATGCCTTATTAGATTTTTGTGTTTGCTTCTTGTAGTATGTTTTTGAAAAAAGGCTTCATTTAAAAAAAGGCTTCATCAAAGACCATACAAAGATCCAGTCTGTTTTTTAGGCTTGACTCAACAATGGCAGAAATGCCAGGCCTGCGTCGCAATTTGTATATAATCCAGATGTAGAAAAACTCATGTCTGGCACAATTTCTAACACAGCATGAGAAGATCCAAATTGCAGGGAGAAGGCAACTATATTCTTAAAGCTCTAGCCTCTCTCATTGGCTGCTCAGGATTTTTAGTTAATACTGCCACGTGTTTCATGTGAGTGAAAAGGGGATATCAGTTAGGTCACAACATCTGCAGATCAGTGACAGATTTGCTTTCTTATGAATGAACAGTTACTGGATAAAACAGATAATTTTTCTGCCCCAGCCACCTTAAATTTGATACCCTTAAATGACAAACAGGGTACACTGCAAAGCGCGGCAGATCCCTGTGGAGGCAGGTCCCTTTCTGCGAGAGGAAGGAAATCCAGAAACAAGGAGGAAGAGGTATGCTTGCTGCATGTTTGCCACTTTGCTCATCACACAAATACCACTGTTTGACCTTGACTGTGACCAGTTTCCCTGAGCGGTTCTGTCTGTGTAATAAAAGAATCTAAAGTGTTATTTTGTTTGTCTAAAGTGTTGGTTTGTTTGGGGCTTTTTTTAAATAATCAAAATAATCATTGTCTACATCAGTTTGTCTCGGAGAGGTTCTTGAATGTGCAGACATATAGGTATGGCTATGTATCTTGATCCTGTTGTGATAAATACAACCATTCTTAGCCTTCAGTGGTATAACATGTATTGATAGCTTAATACTGGGAAACATACAATCCAGTTTTCTTTATTTATATTACATGAGATTTTTTTTCCAGAGATTAGTAAATGTTGATATGGTGATAGCAGTAGTGGGGGGATTCACACATCTTATTTTTTTGTGGAATCTGATGTATTTTAAGTTAACCATATTGGAGACAGTTTCTGTATAGCTGAAACTTATTTTCTTTCTTTGCCTTAGGAATATTTGGCAAGATTGAGGCAGATTCGGCTACAAAACTTCAATGAACGTCAACAGATTAGAGCAAAACTTCGTGGAGAGAAGGTTGGTTAGAAACATAAATACTTACAGAAGTTAGCTGTGGGATGTATTCTTTTATCCCTGTGGGAAGACTTTTGTCCTAGGCAGTTTTATATATAGACATATATTTTTGACATTAAATTCTGTTTCAGAGTTAGTTTATTTTCATCTCTTCAGAATATGCAGAATCTGTTATTTCAGTGCTGGGAGTGCAGCTTTGGTGCCTTTTAATTACCAATGTTTTAAATACAAAGCAATGTAACATTCCATCTGAATTTCTGAATTTTACATATAAATTTTTCATCAGTCACTTAGCACATTTATATTTATTTGCTTCTAGTCAAAGGAGCTTCTCCAGAATTTACTTTTTAACAAGGCTCACCCAGAATGCACATGAAGCAATTATTTTCATACCTTCTGTAGGTGTGCATTAAAGTTAGAAATTCCTGGCATGAGCTCAATTTAATCAATTTATTTTTTTTCAAATACCACTTTTGTAAAATATGTTTGTACTACAACAAAACCAAAATAATATGTCATAGGTTCAGAACAAAGACTTACTGAGGTGTCAAATGAATAATGCAGAGCACACTTGGAAGCAATCCATTTACTTGCTTAAGAGTGTTTGGACTTCCTCAAATGGCTACCTGCTTATATATTCACATTGTCACTGTGATTTAAAATGGGATAAATGTTCCTACCTCACCCATCCCCTTTAAACACCCCTGTTAGGTGTTTTCATGTACCTTACCTATAGTGAGTAGACATACAAGGTAAGGGCAACGCTCAATGCTGTTCAGTTTCCTTGGACCACTATCCCAGCTGAAGAGAGTTCCCCCTTGCTGTACGTTTGGGGGGAGGTTAATGCTATAATAGTATGTTTTTTCCTGTATTAGTGGCTTCTTTAGAATTGTTTTATTCTATGTAACCTTGATTGCATCTCACTAGTGAGATGTAAGAGAGACAAATTCCATCTCTCGATGAGGTGCAAAAGTTCTTTAGCGCATTGAGGAGGAACCCATGCCCCTCTAAATCTAAAATGAATGATCCAAGGCAAAAAGTTATGTATGCTTCTACCTGAGAAGACCGTGCAAGTTTTAGAAGATGTGCTAGATGCTATGTCTGGCATAGAACCAATATGGACCATTCTCCTAAGTATGCCTTAAGGAGCATGAGGAAAATCAGGGTCTTGTTAGTCTATGAAGTCACTGTAGGAGCTGCTGAGTGAAGTTTGTCACTCTCTCTGACTCATACAAAATGGGACACTGATGCACCATAAGCTCATGCTGTGCTAATTTCGGTCATAACTCTGTGTCTTCTCTCCTGTTTTGGACAAGCTTCAAAACTGCTGCAGTGAGACTAATTGGGTCCATACACAGGCCTACAAAATCATACTCTGTGCTAAAACATTGCCAGTCTAGAGCAGTTACTGTCCTTTCAGTTTTTTCACTGAGCAACTGCAACACTTCCTCTTGAAACCAGGAGCACCCACACTCTCCAGAAGCCTCTTATCTGGAGGCAAAAGCTGCTTGTGCTAGTAAAATCAAATAAAAGTACTGTTAAAGTGACCACAACATTAATTCCTGGTATGGGTTATTAAGCATATCGGGAACCTCCCTTTCTTTGCCAGTGGCTGTACCTTCCCTGGGGAAGTATTGCATGCCCCAGAAGGTAAGCCATCTACAAAGAAACAGAGATTAGACTAATATCTTTCCAGGAAATAGGCCTGAACTCATTTTCAGAATTCAGAGGCTGAGTTCAAGAGGTTGTTTTTTATCCCTTGTTGACCTGTGGGTGCAAACTTTAGCCTGAAGGCTCATTTCTAGAGGAACACCATCTGAGACCAAATATTGTCACAGATATGTTCATTTGCTTTTGTTGGCTGAGTTTTATATCTATTGCTGCCACTGCATGGTGTCCTGTGTTATATACAATACATGAATATATGTGTTTATTCCTTTGCCTATGAAGAGTGCCAAATTATTTTTATAAAGTTTTTCTATCCCCAGTGTTCTCTCCAGTTATTTTTCTTTCCTGATAGCTGGCTGAAGCCATGATGGGCATGACCTTATTTTTTCAATTTTCACTTTAAAAATTTCCTAGAATTCTTGCTCGTGGTTTGCCATATTATTTCTAATAATACTCCTCTTATGCTGCAAGAAGCCTACTGAATAGAACTTCTAAATAGTTTATTTTAAATAAAAAGTCTGCACAAGATGCCCATGAACAATAAAAATCTCCTGCCAGAACCTTGAGTGGTGCTGTCAGACTGTTCTGTAAGCAGTATTTGCAGAGGCTATGGGATAAGTGATAGAGGTTGAAAACAGATTTCAGAGGTAGACCTTATATATTTTTACTTGTTACCATTTCCCCCTTTCACCCATTCCACGTTTTTTGAAGCACAAACAGTAAACAAAACTGGAATTCTAGAGCACCAAGTCTTTCTTATATACCTTACCTGCAGAACATGCAACAGTGATGGGAGGGGCAGGTGAGAGCCCAGCATTATTAGGTCACTTTTCCTTGCAGCAAGAGGCACAATACTTTCTTCCTGACTTAAAAAAGCTTCATATCTTTTAAAACCACCGCTCTCTTCATGCAAATAAAAAAGCCCCCACAAGTCTCAGAGATGAAGTTCTGTCCAAGTAGGCTTTGCATTTAAGTGAGGAGTTACCTAGTGAAATTATGACCCATCTTACTCATACAGTCATTTTAAATGCTCTGAGTAGTCACTTACATATCACTCAGCTTTTAAATATAGGAATTCTTGATAATTCTCCGAAGACTCTTACTTTGCAGAATGAAGCTGCCAGTTCTGGTGGACAAGATTCAAGTGAGGAAACAGAACTAAAACGCAAAAAGATAGAAGTGCAGAAGGTAATCGTGGAGTGTGAGAAGATGGAACTTACTGGTTTCAAGTTTGTTTCAGATTTTTAAATTTAGTAAATTTAAAATTAGTAGGTAATTTTAAAATATGTTGAGACATAGCACAGTCTATCCTTGCAAGTCAAGGATTTTTCCTATCCCTGCCTGTGGGATTTATCTCTAGGATAGCTTTAGTCCTAAGGACAATTTGGTATAACTAAAATGGCATTTTGAGACTGAAAAGGAAAGGAAGATGTGTCTTAGATAACAACTTTATTTTAGTTAAAAAATAAAGGAAAGGAAAGCTGCTGACATGGGCTACATGTGGATTGGAAGGTGAGCTATATAACCCTGTGTACATTTAAATGTACTAAAAATGTGTACATTTAAAACAAATGCATTTCACAGAAATCTGATGTTTGATTGGAACTTTATTCAATGTGGTGTTCCTCTATCAATAACTATCTCTACCATATAGCAAGTATTACTCTTAACTATACTATGTTTTTTTCCCCCTTCATCTACAAAGAGCAATGTGAAAACAAGCTAATCTTATGCTAACTTGAAAACTAGAGGTGAAACTGCAGCTGAAGCTTTTTGTGTTTATGTTGAGGAAGTTGGTAAAATTTAAACTGAATATTTTGCAATTAATGCATTTGGATTCAAAGATAATTTTAAGTAGAGATTCTAATTTTGCATTACTTGTTTAAGATCACTATATATGCTAAAAATATAAATATGCAAATAGAGAACTGTAAGTAAATTTTGAGGAGTTGCCATTATTTCAACAAAGAAGATCAGTTGTTAATTGTTGTGTGGTCATTTTGTCAGTGGAGTCTCACAGTAAAAAATGAGATAAAGGAAGATTAATCCAAGAGTATTTCTTCTTAAAGTGTTCCATGAAATGAGTTGCTAATGGTCTTAACTTGGTCTGGTTTTGCTTTTTTACTGTAGGCCCAAGCAAAAGCTCGAGCTGCAGTTCTGAAGGAACAGTTAGAGCAAAAGAGAATGGAAGCATATGAAAGAGAGAAAAGAGCCTGGGAAGAGCACGTAAGAAAATAAATCTCTTACATGCAGTGAAAATATGCAGGGCTGTATCTTTGTATAACTAAAATCCTATGCTATGATTTGTCAAGCTGAGATAATTAGTCTTCTGAAACTGAGGAGAGCATTTGTCAGTCAGAATTCTCTCATGAGGCCTAATCTTACCTATGCTTTCATGAAGAATTTAAAAACATCAAACCTAAGAATCATGAGGATCACCTTAAGTATTTTATTAATGGTCTGTTAATTACCAAAGTGTATTTAATCATCTTTTCCTTCTGTGTGCTGCAGAGTGACAAGTCAAACTAGTAACAGTTCATGTGTGCAGTTGGCAGTTGCCTTTTGCATGAAAATGTGTGGCATCATTGTCCTTGCCTAAGGATTATGTTACCTTAATTGATAATACTGCATTTAATTTGTAACATCTTCAAGTTAATTTGTTGATTTAAGTTTTTTTAATTGAATCTATACAGCTGATTGCGAAAGGGATAAAGACTCCTAATGTGCCTTTTCATGTGGAAGCTACGGAGCACAGTCCTATACATGGACAACAAGAGCCTGGAGCAGCTCTTCCTAAGCCACAACTTCCAGTGAAGCCTGGTGTACCAGTCATCTCCATGACTTCTGCTTTGAAGGAAGTGGGTGTGGTAGGTACTTTTGCTAAGAGGATCAAATTAATGGCAAGAAAGTAGATAATGATTGGAAAAAAAGATTTTAGAAAAAATGTGTAGGTTAGGTAGAAAAAAATGTTAAGGACATTTGTTGCTTCTAATTAGGAAAAAAGGAGGAAAAAAAAGTAAAAAGAAACCTAAGATGGAAGATGTTGATATACATTTGTACACTGAAACTCAAATTTAAGTTTAGAACGAAACAGTTTCTGATGAACCCTAGGCTGCAGTTTCCATTTTGAGCGAGTTCGTTATGTTTAGTGGAAGAAGACATCAACTTCTAGCATTTTCATCAGCCTTTTGAAGAGGGGAGTTAAGGAGATTGTATCCTGGTGAAAGTGACAAATAAATTGTGAATGATAGGACTAGTTGATACTGATGAGTGTTTTCAGTGAGTTGGAAAGTATGTGCTGAATATAACAGAGAAGATAGTTTAAGGTACTTGAATCTGTTAGTGCTGTGTAGGTTCTTGTTGTCTAGAGGAGTATTAGAGGCTTCCTAGGTTCTGTTTTCTGTGCTCTTGGCCCTGATATTATAAATACTTACACATTTACCCCAGCTACCACCACTTCATTTAAGTTGCAGTTATGAAACTGAGCATCTGAGTGTAATGTTGCACAGTTGGAGCAGTGTGGTATTATATACTGTATACAACCCTGAAGACTATGACCATGGGAATATAGTGAAACCTAGTGCTGCAGGGTGTATATAAAATGTAATATACTGAAAGATGTCAGTTGATAGCTGGAAAAATAAATCATGTTTTGACAAATAGTTACATCTTTAGCACATTTTTTTCCATGTGGATAGTTTGTCTTACAGTAATGCAAAACAGTTACTATAACAGACTAAAAATTAACACACAGAGCAACTGGGAATGAAGAAAACAAGCATTGTACACAAAGATTATAAATTCTATATTTTTGCCTTCAATTTGTAGTTTTTTGATTTTAATTATCACTTAAGTTTGTCTCTTTTCCCTTCTGTTTTTCTCATAGGTGCTCCTTGACGGTGCTTGCTGCATTTTTGGTTCTGTAATAGAACTCATAGAAATACTCATTTCTAGCATAGGAATTTGGTGGTGTTTTGCTCTAGAGGTCATATCTAGCTTTATCTCTGCATATTTGGTGCTCTGAACTCTCACTTGTCTCTTTTTAACTGAGTGATTTGCTTATCACTTTCAGATAGTGAATAGCTCAAAGACAGAAGATGCCCTTGAAATTCTGTCTTTAGGAAGCCCCATAAAAAGAGAATAATGATACATTTTGTTTCAGTCTATCTGCACTTGTCAATGCAAAGGTTTTAGGGGTGATTTTTTCACTATTATGTATATTAGTACTCTCAAGGTAATTTTTTTCTGACATATTCCTCTACTTTGTATTTCATGCTTCCTGGACTTCTAGGATGAACATGTAACTGCTGTCCAGGAATCTGAGGAGGAACTAAAAAAGCCAGACTCTGCAATGCAAGTATGTCCAATTGGATTCAGTTTCATTTAGTTTTCCTTTTAGAAAGGCACTATTTCAAGTGACATATATTGGCCCTTATTTCAGAATAAGCGAGAAATACTGAGAAGATTAAATCAAAATATTAAAGCCCAAGAAGATGAGAAAGGAAAAAAGGAGTGTAAAAGCATCTCTGAATCAGCTGGGTCTGAAGATGGTAAGGAAGCACAAGAAGGTGACCATCCACTTCTAGCAGATCGCAAAAAATGGGAATCTGGGACATCTGAGTTGGTAGTTCCTCTAGCTCAGTTATCGATGGAAGAGTCTCTCTCTGGAACAGAGTGTAAGTACTTTTTCTTTGGTCTCCGTGTATTAGGAAATCAGTTTACCATTTGTAATGTTTATTTTTATAAAGCAAGGAGTCTTTATTGTTATAATTCTTTTGTTATCAGTTACATGTCATCTGATTCTAAAGAACAGGTGGTGATGTACTCCCCTGGATAAGGAATAAGGCACAGGCTGAGTACTTAGATGGCCTGAAGGAGATTCAGTAAATAATTTCCTAATTTCAACAAATAGTTACCTAATTAAATGCATGGTTACTTTCTTTGAGCTTTCTTTGTAAGTGTCCTTTAAATAGGACAGGAAGAATAAAAAGCATTTAAGACATATGAAAGTTTCTTGTTTAACTTTAAAATCCTTCTATGTTATCGGTAGAAAAATAAAAACTGAGAGGTCTCTCAGTTTGTCTGTTGCTTCTCTTGCATCCTTCTCGGCATTTTCCTTCTTTAAATGAAGCCTGTCTTTTCAGAATTTCTGTCTGCCTTCTCTGGCTGTTTGATTGGAAGACCTTTTTCCTGGCTTCTCTATGTTGTACTAAGGTCTATTTCACGTTGTAGAAATAAATAATCATTGAGAATGTGACAGGCTTACTTCATTGCATAGTAAATTTACAGGGCTGCAATTCTAGAACATCAAGAAACTTCTTTTTCTGGTTTTCTTTGTTGCTTTATGTGTCCTGTTTTCCTTGGAGGGAGAAATAACAAATAAATGTCAAAGGATAGCAGGACAAGAGTCTTTCCAGTTTACCATTTCGGGTAAAATTAAGACCATTCCATGCCAGTTTTAAACATTTCACATGCTGCTCTCCTTTGGAGTGCCTGAATTGGTGGAAAGGTCTAGTGCTGCTATTAAGTTGCAGGTATTAACTGGCATTGAATAACTCCTGTTGGTGATTGCAACTGGCAGAAGAAAAAATAGATGAGCACAGTCTTTAGGCTGCCTGACTTGGAGTGAGGTGACATGACTTCTGCTTTGGTAGTTTTTAGTTTTGTGAAAGTTGTTTGTTTATCATATAGAAAGTGAATAAAAGTTCCTAATTTATAAAGTTTCTATATTTGTGTTTGTGTCCCAACAGGTCAAACTCTGGGGGAAGTAATTAAATTAGATACTGGTGAACCCCACAGGAAAGTCTGGGGCAAAAGCCCTACTGACTCAGTCCTGAGGATCCTAGGAGAAGCAGAGTTGCAGCTGCAAACTGACATACTAGAGGAACAAGATGTAATAAATGGTAAGCACAGCTGGCAGTTATCTGCACTGCAAGTGTAGGAAATGCCATATTGCCAGTTTATCTACTGAGAACAGTTTTGAAGTTATAGAAGCATATTCTTATCTCCACTCTTGCTTTCTGCTTCTTGGTGTTGCCTCAGTTCTAAATGTCTAAATTAAGCTGTTACTGGATGGCCAAAACACTTCAAACTCAGTGAGGTGGTAAGAAAATAAGAAGGATGTGCTGAAAGAGAAGGATCTTTATTTTGTCTTAAAGTCCTGGACTTTGCTTTTTGGTAGCAACAAGTCTGTTTTTTAAAAGGATGTCATCAACTGAGTATTGTATTAAATAGGTCCAATAAAACCTTCTTGTCAGCATGTGACTTACCATACCAGTTTTTTTCTGGTCAACTCCTGCTTTTTTTATTTGTAAGGACAAAAGTACTTACCTTTATTCCAAATATAAACTTGTATTAATGTAACAAGTAAAATTCTTCTTTGTAATAGTTATAATAAAAGCATGCAAACTTTTCTGTCTGCCTTTAAAGAAACAAAAATTCTCAACTTACTAGCCACGTTGTAGTTTATTATCCAAGTGTGTCAAAGCACTGTTTACATAATAGAATCATTTCCTGTTAGGTACTGCAGAAATTGAAGGAGATCATCAGTCTCCATCAGAGGAGAAGGAAGAGAAGGCATTATCTGCTGTTGGAGCTCAGTCCTCAGTACCAGTTGGTGACACAGAGTCTGTCCTGACTGTACCAGAGGAGCCTCCAAGAACTGGACCTACCCAGGTGCAGAGCAAACCTATTATTCTGGACGGTAAGTCATTTCATTAGTAATTCTAATTACAATCTGTTTCCTGAATTCAGTGAAGGAAGTAAAGATTCTGTGTAGTTTTATATCTTCCCTTAAGCAATGTGCAGTTTTTATTAACACCCTTTAGGTAGGACCAGGTGCTTTCTATGCCTGTGTTGTGATTTGATTTACTACTGTATTTTGTAAATTTCCAGAAACCTTTTTTTGTATGCTTGTAGAAAACTCTCTAGAGTACAAGTGAAATTCTAAAGTGCTTCAGACATTTTGTTGTTGATTTGGCATTTTTAGTGTTTGTTTCTCCCTATCAATTGTGCTGGAATCTTTTCCCCTGTATGACACCTTTTTGACACCTGGGGAAATTTTACTGAGGTTTTTACAAGACATAGTTCAGTGGAGCTTTAAGATACTCTTCTGGTATCAGAAACAAACTTTTAGCTCTGGGATTGCAAAGGAGCTGTTCCTGCATAATGCAGAGAACTGTTAGTGCTGAAGGATTTAAGTATGATCTTAAGATGTATACTCTCTCCTTTCTCTTTGCTTGGCTGGCATTCATTTTTAATGAGGTGTTTAATTTTAGAGCCTGATGATTTGGAAGCAGAGATGTTGGAAGAAATGGAAGATAAAAAGCAGCAGAGTAAGGAATTTCCCATCACTGTTAATGAAGTGTGGGTAAAAGAGAAAGAGGATATGTAAGTACTCTCTTCTGACCTCGCTCCCTTTCAAACAACTGAGCTTTCACTGAGTAGAATTTAGATATGTGAGTTAAAATGTTAACCTTAGCTAAAGCTTCATTGCTTGCTGCTCTGTTAGTTTTACTGCACTTGGTGACGTCTTCAGTAGACTAATGACTATTTTTACATGTTGTTTCCCCTTGATGTGGTGTTTTCTAATAGGGCACAACATGACAGAATAATTGATGCAGCTTCTGAGAAACTCACACTTGACAAGGTGAAGCCACAAGAGGAAGCTCCAAAAGGTCAGCTGAGTCTCTTGGTCTGTTTATTGTGGCTGGCAGGATGGGGGACTTGAGCCATCCCTTCTCACTTCTTTATTAACTCTGAAAGAGCAGGTTTTTGTTTTCATTTTCTTCTTTAGGTCTTACTTCCAAAGAGCGAATTTCTGATGGAGTAGGAAGACAAATTGTGGGTATTATGTTTGTCAGTTTGGAAGAAAACATGTAACAACAAAGCTACACTGTGTATAGATGAACAGGACAGTGGCCCATACTGATACTGAAAAGTGAATGTCAAGTTTCTGAGTGTTACAGCCTTTAAAAATTACTTTTTAAGATGTTCTGAAATCTGATTATTTACTTAATAAAAGTATTGCTTTGTTTATAGACATTTAAAATTAATATTGAGCTGCAGCTTGGATAAAAAGTGGTTTAAGTGGTTGCTAATTATAATTTTTTCTCTTTATTGCATAGAAGAACTGCTTGTTCTTGGAGGTCTTTGAAGTAACTTCAGAAGATCTGTGTATTTTACAGTAGAATTTAAAATACATCAGCAATACTACCAAGTATCATTGGTGATACTAGTGCATCTAATTATGGGTGGCTTAAGCAAACTGGGTTGTTTTTTCCAGTGTTTAGATGAATTATATTGATAGCTTTGAAGAAATCTAGCAAGAAGCAACAGGTGAAAATGTATGACACCATAGTTTTAGGCATGGACTGGATAACAAGAAACCAGAAGTCATGGGACAGAACAGGCTATACCTGAAAGCTGTATATTCTCAAAGTTAAATGTATTTACTAAAATAATCAAAAATATTTTAACACTTTTAAAGTGCTATCTGCTTTTCCCTCTGATTGTACAACAGAAATTAATTGATTAACTTTACGTATCTTTTCCTTGAGAGCTTTGGGTTTTTAATCTGTTTACGTTTGTAACAGACTTTCTTTTACCACAACAGAAACCTGTTCCAGTGGCTCTCGGCAAGCTGAACCCTTATTCCAGAGGGTAATACAGCCCACAGCTGTACCAACAGTCTCACCAGTTCTGTCAGCTCAGTCTTCACAGGAAGAGCCTTTTGTACCTCGTTCGCGTTCCATATCACCAGCAAAAATTAAAGGCAAAAGTTCCTTGTTGATTGGACTTTCTACAGGACTTTTTGATGCAAACGACCCAAAGGCAAGTTTAAAATCTGAAAAGAAATAGTTGTTTTTCTACAGTATTGTTATGCTTACTTTCTTACTGAAGCTGATGAGGCCAGAACAGATGGTGTTGATATTTGTGTATCCATGTCTGCCCTGTGGTTCGACTGCACTATGCTCATGGTGTCAGCAGGTCTCGTGCAACAGTGAAAGTCTCTGGTTTCACCATTCAGCATTCTATGTCACAAGTGGAGGAAAGACACCACTTCTCTGAGACATAACTGAGGGAGTTCATGAAGAAATTCCTAACTTGCCCTATCTGTTTTTGTTCAATTTTTCAGACTTACCTCTACCTTGCCATCATAAACATACCTTTGCTGACCTGTTCAGTGATTATCTTGTCATAGAAACCAAATGATTGACTTTTTCCTGTAGGATTCAACCAGCTAGCACAGGTTCTGGCTGTGAAGCAGGAAGCCTGAAGAACAGTGAATGGAAGTAACTTCTTTCTTGAAGATGTTTCCTGACCAGCCACACAGGATTGAGTGGCAGCTCACAGTCTGTGAAATGAGCATTGGATGGTGGAATGTGGTTTTGATAGGGTTTTAAAGTATTTTAAGAATAGTTATGAAACTAGTGGATGAAACAGACTCTCTAAATGACAGGCAGTACTTGCCTGGGTTCTAAAGTGGAAAGTGCATGAAAGAGCAGCTGCTCTTTGGAGAAACAGCAGTCATAAAGGTTCTCTGCAAACTGTCACACCTGCATTGTATTCAGTCAATATGTGGTGAAGGCTGTCCTGGGTAGTGGAATGCCATGTAAGACATTCTTCTTTTGACTCGCAGCCTGTTTTTATAAGTGCATGAAAGAAGTTGCACTATTGATGATTAATTGAATATTGAATAGTAGCTATTGGTTGATGCATTGCTAGGAAGTGTAATATCAAGGACAGTGCTGTTTGCATCTGTGGGAAAATAATGCTTCTTGACAAGCTTGCATCTCTTTTCACAGATCCATCTATTCACATAAATGGATTTCTGAGTCCTTTTTTCATTCCTCAATAGTGAGTCTACCATTAGCTTCCCTAGTTTAGGTAGCTATTTATCTGGCAGTTGAACAGGGGTTACTGGAATCCTAACTTACGAGCAGGAGGAAGATGTATGTTCTTTGTACCCTTATCAGATTGAGAAGGTAGTGGATATGCTTTATAGTGGAGCTCTTTGGTGTATCAATATGAACTGCTTCAGTATGTCAGTTGTTACCACATACTTGGCATGTGTTTTGGCCAGAGCTGTTTGTCACCGAGTGGATAATGCAGTACTGAGGTTCTCCACACAACAGCAGAGAGCTCAGAGAAGAGCAGCAGATGTGTTGTTCCTGCTGCAGAAGACTTGATGCCAGAGAGCAACACATTCCCCTTCCTCATCTGGTTGCAGCAAGAGGATTTTCAATACTGAGGACAGTACCTGCAATTGTAGCTTTCTGGAATTTCCCAAGTGTACCTCTGCTGCAGCTCTCACCCAGAAACTGTGGAAACCTTAGCAGGGAGCAGGGCAGGCAGAGTTCATGTCCTGTCTGTCAGCAGCTCTGTAGGCTAACAGAATTAAGCTAATAGGCAAAGAAGCATTTTTCAAAACACCTGGAAACTTTGAAATGATGGAGTAACATCAGTTTTCTAATTGTTCCTTCACTTTCGTAGTAGAGGTCAAAATGAGCGTTTATTCCTTTGATGGCAGTAGTATTCTGGCCATGTGCTTGCAGGGATTTGATATTTGAACATGTATATGAATACTCTACTGGTACAAATTCCAGCTGAGAAGCTAATTTGCTCATTAAAATTGAGGGGCTTTCATTAGGAGCAAACAATTAACGTGTATATTCAAGAGCTATGGCAAAGGAAAGTGAGGCTTATTGGCAAAACTTCTTAGTGCAGATTAGGTCTTGTTTCTTGTTTTATTAATACTGTGGTGAATATTTAGTACTTTTGGGGGAGTTCTTAGATTTCTTAAAAGAGAGGATCTCATAGATCACTGACCAAACAGTTGCTTTGTTTCCTCCATGCTTTATTTTCATTGCAACAAATTACCATTGTAATGCCATGGAACAGCACTGAAACATACCATAAACAAAAGTTACTCTTTTCCATGACCAACCTGGAGAAATACTAAAATGTCATTCTAAAAAATACTCATCAACTACTTAAAATGGTTCTCACTGGAAGTGATTGCAGTTTTTTACAATGGTGTTTGCCATACCTATTATTTGCCTGCTATCAGGTTCTTTTTCTTTATTTAGCTGTCAAGGTAGTGAACAGATCAGCACAAAACCAGGACCTGTATGCCACATGATGTTCTTAAGGCTTTTCAGTCACTGTAACCCACAAAGGCAGAAGGATGCTTTCCTTTTAGCTGAGAGGTAAAATGCAGTATGTCAGATTTTCAACTATTAGAGTTTCTGTGCTGGACACATCATTATTTTGAAATGGACCTTCAAATGAAAAAGAACAAAAAAAACCCAATTTTGAAGCATTTTTGTAATCTCAAACTGTCTTTTGTATTGTTACCAAGTAGGCTTTCTTTTACCTTTGTAGATGTTGAGAACATGTTCCCTCCCAGATCTTTACAAACTGTACAGAACTTTTGTTGATGTTCCCAGTGTAGCAGATGTGCAGAATCAACATAATCTTGAAATAGATGATACGGAAGATGAGCAAGCCAAAGAAGGACCCTCTGATTCTGAGGATATGTGAGTGTATCAAGTTTATCAAGTATTTTAACAGGCATCTTAGATCAAGAGTGTTACCAGCTTGAGGGTTTTACCCAAATTGTAAATATTCTGTATTGAATCACCATTTATTTAGTCTTGTTCCAGAGAATTGAGAAGCTAATGGGATGTACTGTGTACAATAGCCATTTGAGTTTCCTTCCCAAACTCCATCTAAGAATACTAATTTGCCTGGCTTCTGCAACTTGCATTTTGCTGAAGTAGCTCGAAGTTGATGGCTACTGCTCTTCTAGAAATAAAAATTTATTGAATATTTCTTCTTTATATGTTCTGGGAATCTTGCTCTTTTGTCTTCTCTACTCTTATATTGGAATGTCTCCTGATTTTTTTTTCAGGGGCTCCAAAATCTGACTGTGGTCTTGACTATTCCCTGCAGCTCTCATAGTCTGCAGGGATAAAATCATTTGGTGTATCTTTTCTGATGAGGTCTAGATCTGTCTTTGCTCCAGATACATATTTATCTGGATTGGAAATGTACTTGTCGCTGTTCAATAACACTGTGCATGAACACAAAGATTTGTTGAACTGAGGACCTGTCATGTTTTTCTGAAATGGTCAGGTATCTGTTTAGCTAATCTTTATATCTTGCATGATACAAGGATATCAGTGCTGTAGTCATTTTGGATTGAGGTCACATAAAAGACTGAGGTCTTTTACTTTTGTCTTTTTATTTTTCCCCTCCAGCTAGATTGGCTTTTCAGTTTGCTGGCTTAACAAAAGAAATTAGCTCTTCCTACAGGGTTTCTCTTATCAAGTATTAATTATCTAAACTTTATATCACTTTCCTTTAGTATGTTTGGAGAGACAGATACAGATTTGCAGGAACTCCAGGATTCAATGGAACAATTGCTTAGGGAGCAGCCTAGTGAGGAATTCAGTGAAGAGGAAGACTCTACTTTAAAGGCTAATGTCATTGAATGCATAACAAATGGTACCGAGCTGGATGAAGGAGATGAAAATAACCCCAGCAGTGAAAGTGCACTTAATGAAGAATGGCAATCAGGTATAATTTCTGTTATACCTGTTTTATAAGTTACTTATTCATGTTAACAATTCAAACACAGAATAATGTTTTTGCTTTGTAAACTTAGAATGAAGTAAAGTTCAAATTAATAGTTTTTATACAGAAATTTTAAAAAATCAGATAGTATTTAGACTTTCTGAATGGTTAAGTTCAACATCTAAGCAACATTCACTTGCAAATTAAATATTGGCTATTTGTTGGGCACTGATTGCAAGAGCCTTTTCCTTTAGTTATCTAAAACTTGTCTTCAAGGAAGATCAAAGGCTTCGCACATTGTATGTTTTGAATAATTCATGATGGTGAGTGTGAAAAAGAAATAGCATTGACATGACTGGAGTATCTGAGATCCAGCTTAAATTACAATTAAGTAATTTAACAGGAAGTCAGAAGTGGCATGAAATTATTAACCTTGTCCTTAGCCAAAATTAGGTATTAATGCAGTCGAACTAAAAATGAGACAGAAAAAATTATTACTGCCTTTAGGATTTTGCATTAGCTATGCACAACGGTGTCCTGAAGGCTCAGTTCTGTTTTTTACATTCTGGTAGAAATACAAGTATTTCACTCCTGCTGTAAAATTAAGTGCATTTAGGCATAGAGGGTATAGAAACATGCAGAGAATCAGTAACTAATCCAAAGCATAGTTTTGTGTAATTTTGATTTATTGAAGAAAATTTTAAACAAATTGAACATCTGTGAATATACCTGTAAGATATTACCTGTCTAATGCATTCCAAGAATTATTTTAAGGTAAAATAAACTTAGGTAATATCTCTAACTTTTTGGCAATACTGATATTAAGCACTGACAACATGCAATACTTTGTGTGATTCTGCTGTTGGTGCAAGTGCTGGTGTTTAATGTCAGTGTCCTACCTTGTAGATTGATGATATTCCATAATTGCAGGAGGGAGGAAGGCAGGCTGTCCTTCAGAAGGGTAATGGGCAGGACTTGAAACCAGATGTGCTCAAGATCCAGAAGTTAAATAGAGGATTAGAAGTAACCTAATGGGTTTTTAACTCAGATGCAACTCTTCTTTTTATTTTAATGGTAATTTCTTATTGATTTGACTGCTGCTACTTGAAACAGGGATATGATTTGGTCAGGATTATACCTTACACTAGTCATAATAGGAATTGAAAAAGGTAGTGTTAATACTGTTCGTAGTTGTACTAGTATAAAACCTATTTGTAAGATTCCTGTAGCCTATAAGCAAATTTATGTTAATTATTCTCCTATCTTATTGCCCCCATCAGCATACTGAATTTGCTACACAAAAGAAATGCACTCATTAAAGAATGAGGAACTTTGTAGCTAAGGATTTTTAGACTTGCTTCATGGAGTAAGATGCATCTCTTGGCAGAAAGTAATGGACTCGTAATACACGTGTTCTTATTTTTTGCTACAAGACAGCTGCTTCCTTAAGCTCTTTTCCCTAGCATGGGACAGTCACTGAAACCTGCATGAGTTTCACCTCAGAAATACTTAGAATGGTTGTATGGAACTTGACCTACTTAGCTAAATAAAATTCTGCTTTAAGACCATACCTTGTTTTCCTTCAGTCTGAACACCCTTATGGCTAACTATCAGAGTGGGGACTTAGAGCTCTAGGTACTTCCCATCTGGGATTCAGAATTTCTTTGCTGTCAAGAGAAGGACTGTTCCTGTTTCCTTGCACATTGTCAGAACATCTGTCAACGTCACCCAGTGCTCCTGAGCTTACCTGTTTCGTTGCATTTAACAGATAGCAAGTTTGGGAACTTAGAAAACAGCATTAAGAATGCAGGAAAACTGAAGGGTTTTACTGTTCTTTTTCTTTCTTTACAGATAATAGCGATGGAGAAATTGCCAGTGAATGTGAAGAATGTGATAGTATCTTCAGCCATTTGGAAGAGCTGAGATACAACCTGGAGCAGGAAATAGGCTTTGATAAATTAATTGAAGTTTATGAGAAAATAAAGGTTTGTGGAATAACCTCAAGTGGGAAATATTTTAAGAAACAAGTACCTAGGGCTGTTTGCTGTGCCAGTTAACTAATTGCATTGTGTGACTAGAATCAAATTTTTTTTTCAGTAGTCTTTTACTCTGTTTTGACACAATCAAATATTAACAGAAAAACTGCCCTGCCAGCAGATTAAAGAGGAAAATTGTGGGTTTGAATTACATTGAATAAATTTGAGCAATCCAATTTTGTACCCGTTTTAATTTTGGCAACATGGTTTGTCCTTTCCCCCAGGCTATACTTGAAGATGAAGATGAAAATATTGATATTTGTTCAACCATAGTTCAGACTGTTCTTGGGAATGAGCACAAACACCTGTATGCCAAAATACTTCACCTAGTGATGGCAGATGGAGCCTACCAAGAAGGTAAACTCAGTGTATCCTGGCGATCATGGCTTGTCTTAGGTTATTTCTTGGTCACTTACAGTAGGTTCTAATATATGTGTAAAACACCATAGAATCACAGAATAGATTGTAGAACACATATCTGCTGTGTTACATTGATAGGCTAAATTAATTCAAACTTTACACAAAGGGTATTTTTATTCCTGCAACAAAACATGGCAAACCTTGATGAAGCATTGCTGACCATCGTGATTTAACACAATGTACATGTACAGTCAAGTGTAACAACAGTTATCTTAGAAAAGGTGCAGTATAATTACTTAACTTCTGTAAAACAGTTATGCAGATTGGGAAAGTGGAAATCTAGAATAATACTTTCAGAATTGGAACAATTTTATCTTAAGAATTAATGAACTTTAGCTAAAATACTATTTTTCTTTCCAAAATGCTACTTTTAACAGGTTCTGAAAAGAAAATTTCATGGGGCTCTTTATCCTATAATTATAACTTTTCAGAGGACCTCGATGTGTACATTCCATCCATCTCAGTTGGTGGCTCAGTAATACATGAAGAGAATTTCTCTTGCTTTCAGCCCAGCCTAGCTTAGCACAGCTTCTGAGGCAGATGGATAGTTCCTTGATCTTTCAGAGTCACTCTATGAAATACCACACAGATCACTAAGAATGAGGGAATGGTTTTAGGGTTGTTTTTTTTCTCTCATGCCAAAAATTTAACTGCAGTTATTTAGATTTCTAATTATGAAAGTTTTTACTGGAGAGGGAGGAAATCTAAAATCTGAGTTTTGTTTTTAGAAATCAGAGGCATCATACACTGGCTGTAGAAGTGTCTGCAGTGATCGCTATTTAATACATTTCAGTTTGAAAAACAATATTTAAATGCATGTTAAGCAACATGTACTTTCTGCATCTTTTAAATTCTTTTACAAATGTGTTGCAATGGCAGTGAATAAATGATGGAGTAAGTGTATGGCTTTCTGTGGCTTTTATCTGTAAATCCTTGGGGGTAAAGTCCTAAAAGTAGCGTTAAAAATGTAATAACTAAAAAGAAATTCTAACACAAATTACATTTTCCCAATTTTTCTTTTCGCCTGATATAGAACCACTCGGTAAGAATAATCAGTTTGATGTTGTTCTCATGCTGTGTTCTAGAAGTATGACAGAGACGTGTCTGAAAAACATTTTTTTCAGCCACAATTTATTGATTTAATGAAAGAATTGGAAAGATATGTTCTAGTAGTTCATTTCTCAAGTGTCCAAAGGATTGGCATATTAGAACAAGAAGAAAATGGTTACTGTGTTGTCACCATTTTCTTTTCTTTGCCTCTCTGCCTTAAGGATATTTTAAAACTAGTACTAAAAGGCTTAAATGACAATTTGTTGAAATGTTGGCATAGAAATTATAAGCTGTTGTCTGAGTGAATCCTATTAAAATGAGCTGACTTTCATCTTGCAAAATGCTGATTAACAAGTGGCTATTTTTAACAGCTTCAGTTCTAATTCTTTCTTTTACAAATCTGTGGTAGCATACAAAAATGTAAAGAAAAAGTAGTTCTTTAAATTTCAGTCCTGTGCTAATAGGGGTGAGCAGAGGACAAGTGACAGACAGAAGCATCTTCATGAGCTTCTGTCTCAAAAGCTTTATACTCTTCAAATAAGAAAAGTTAGAAAAAAAAAATCTGTATTGCTCTTAACTAAGAGGATTGTCCTCACTGAATCAGGCCACTTGAGATGAAACTATCTTACATTCACTAATCCAAGATGACATGATGTTCAATATTTGTACACATAGTACTTCAAGGCAGTTTTGGTAACAGTCATATCACTGGTGACAGACTTAGTGGATTCTTGTATTATTGCTTACTAAATTGTGGTTTCTAGTTTGTTTTGTAATCCCAGCTTGACTTTGTGTCTGTGTGTGTTTGTCTTTCCTCTTCACATTGTCTCTCCCTCTCTCCTGCTTTGTACAGGTAATGATGAGTAAACCTGACTCAGGAAGTTCCTTAATGCTGTACTACACATCAGTGTCTGAAGTCTGCACAGCTGAATAACAAATTGTAGTGGAGAATGTAACATGGGGCATGAGAAGCAAGACTTCAAAAAAGAATGCTGATTGTATGAAAAGGAGGAAAAACATGCCTTTTGAAACTGAGATACCTATAGAGTTCTCTTGTGTGTATTTGCACACATGTTCCTTAAACATTATGTGCTCAAAATTTTTAAAAAAACCAAATCCCAATGGCAAAAAACAATCAACAAAACCCCCAAACCTCAACAAAACAAAGGAAAAAAAAAAAAACCCACCAAAAAAACCCCCACAGAACCCACAAACCTGTAACCTCTCAAGGTCAAAAACAAATATAGAAAGGAATAGCTGATGCAAAACTGAGACCTGTAATAAAACTAGAATTTCTGCCATATCGACAGTTGGGTGGTACAGTTAAGCAGTTGGAAGCATTACTGTCTTGTGGAAGTACCCACATCTAGCTATTCGCTTACACACTTTAAATAGCTTTTCTTTACACCTACATAAAGAAATTACTTCATTTTTAATGACCCTCGTGGTTGTGTTTTAACAGCATCTTAATCTAGTGTTCCAGTTCAAGTATTTCACTTTTATCATATTTTGAAGCTGGAGGTTTCTGTCACATCTTACTGGTGTTTCTACATCAAGGCGAACTGGTAAATCAGTCATCATTGAAATATCTGGGTTTTTTTAGACTGTAAAATCCATTTGGAGCTAGAATAATCTTTTTTTTCCAATACTTTTCTTCCTCTTCTCCTTCTCCAACCCCTTCCCAAAAATCCCAATTATTTACCTCTCTTGAATTTTGTAATCTGGTCAATGATAATTTAGTACACTCTTGAATTGAAAGGAGTGGGTGTTATCCAGTTTATTTTTAAGTTGTTACTGTTACATTTATGGCTCCAGCAGCCACAGGGGAAAATGAAATCTTGCAGGCACAAGTATACTTCACATCTTTTGGCTCCTGTGCTGTAGCTTGGTTTCCATCACCCCAAAAGGAAAAAACAGGTTTCTTCTGACCCACATTTCCTTGTTCCTCATGACAAAGCAGTGCTATACAGAGCAGACATTAGGTATTCTGTTGTTTCCAGTCCTCCTCTCTGGAACAGCTTTACTGGCCTATCCATTACAGTAAGTCTCTTGTTACAAATCTGATGAACTGTCAAACTTCCAAGTGCCCTGTTGGAGAAAAATAGATTTATTTCTTTTTCAGCTACAGCTGGTTACAATCTAAAACTGTCATAAGTTGGTTTTCCACAAAGTAAAATAAAGTATATATATTTATTATTTAAACTGTTAAAATATATACATGATTTTTGTATAATTGTTTTATGGTGTCATTATTAAAGTTTTGCCCAATGAAAAGCGTTAGTTTTTTTTAAACAGATACAATTCTTAGAGGTAGATCAAACTTACTCTAGTTCAGTGGTATCCTGGGAATCTGCAGCGCAAATAAAATTAATAATAATAAGAAGTTGCCTTTAATACATTAATTTTTTATTTATTTCATTACTTGACAAACACCTTTTGCCTCATCTGATGAGAAAGTTTGATCATTGTTGGAAATGGTGCTGGTTCTGTCCTGTGCTGCTTCTCCTCATTTCATTTCCTTCCTTCTTTACTTTTTCTTAACTTCCCACAGTCAACTTTTCACCAGGCTTGTCTTCCGTTCCTCCTTTCACTGCTGAATGATCTGTTCATAGAGATGATCCTTATGAGCTACCTCATCCGTGACATTTAGCAAATACTCCGTAAAGACTTTATGATAAAGAATGAGTCGGCATTATTTTCCTTTCTCAGGTTTGATTTTCAGATCATACCTTGCCCACCTTTTGGAGGAAGAGAGGACTCAAACCCTTTAGATTTAAAGGAGTATAGATGAACTGTATGGAAAAAAGAAAATGTACCAACTGGCATGTTCTGTGCTCCGTGATTTTGAATTCTCTCAAGGTGACAGAGTCTTAGTGAAGTTAAGGGTTGGGGGATGTTTACTTTTTAAATTGAAAATCATATTGTTATTGACATTCTTCATTTCTTGTGCAGTGTGCTGGATTACTTCTGGTAAGAAAAGTGGCCATAATCTGCACACTTGAAGCTTTAGAGACATAGAGCTTTTTACCAACTATTGGTTTGAAAAACACATGTGGATTGTGCACAGCTTTTCAAGAATAATCTTCAAACCTGCCAACCAATACTGAATATCCTTGAAATCCCTCAAAAGCTAATTTAAACTGACACAGTAAAAAAAAGTTTGCTAAAGAAATACTTCTATCTGAAATTTTAAATCCATATTTAATGTATGCTATAATGACATCAAGGGCAGCATGGCTTTGGGATGATTTATTGGTCGGTATGTAATTTATTGAAATTAATTGAGCATTTGGCTTGAATGCATAATGCAATCACTAAGGAGAATTTTCTGTTGTAATTCTAGGAGCAAATTGAGATATAGAATGGTATTTTTGGCACAAAACATACACCGTAAACTACTTCACATTTATGTCTTTGCCCTCAGTCTTTCTTGACCCTTGAAGCCAACTGTAGTTCAGCTGGGGAATCTTCAAAAAAAAAAAAAAAAAAAAAAAAAATAGACCTCTAATGTTCTTATCTTTCCTGGTGCTGGTTTGAGCTGAGCGGGTACAGTAACCCTACCCTGAGCACTGGTGCTTAAAATCTTTTTTGAAGAACAAAGCCTAAAAGAGGCTTTTGCTTTTCAGTTTGCTGAACTCTGAGTGCATATATGAAATTACTACTAGAAGATATTTTAGAAAAATGTATTAGCTGGTTGGGCAACACGAACCAAAGCAGAGCAGAGACATTTCTGTGCTCTGGGAGGCGAATGGCTGATTCAAACCAAGTTGCAGTGTACCATATTCCTGACAAGGCTCTCAGTGCTCTTGAGAAATCTGCGTTACTTATCAGTAATTCTTAGGTCAGCTTGCAGTGCTGCTCTGTGCCTCTTGCTCTCGTTTCCGCATACCTGCGCTGTTTGTTCTCTGCCCACCTGTGTGGGCAGCGCTGTCCCACGCTCCGCAGCCGCCGGGGGCAATGTGTGGGGAGCATTGGTGCTGAGCGTGGGGCCCGAGCAGCCAAAGGGCAGAAATCCTTCAGTCCCTGTGATTTATCGGGATTTCCTTGTACGAGGCTGTGTTCGGAACGTACACGTAAACGCGAATCTTCGCCTGTTTACAAAATGTTGTTCATCAATAATTTACAAATCAAAAAT